TGGCTAATCAACATTGTAACAATTAAAAAAATCATCACAGAATGCATTGTCCTTTTTGATTCCTGCTCATTATTTAATAATTTTCATTTTAGTGAAATATTCTCTACCGGTAATACTTCTACTTCACTCTATAAAATCATAGTCTCCATGAATAGTTCACAAGCTGAAGAAAGATAAAAATTTAAAAAGAAATAAATTATCTTGGCTTAGGTGTATAACTTCCTCTTAAACTACTTTGGGTATGATTAAATCATAGAGCATTTAGAGTTTTCCAAGCTAATCACAAGATATTAAGATTGCTTTTAATCACCTGGAAGTGTAATACAGTAACAAGTCAAAAGAAAAGATTCTATTACCTATTCTGTGCTGCTTCTTCCTTCCAAAGACAACCGCTCATCCAGTTTTATTAGAGCACCACATATATTAACTGAAAACTACAACCAAGCTGGAAGTGAGAGCTTTTCTTCATGAATGATAGTAACAGACACATTAACAAACTTTCAGAAAACTTAGTTGATCTTCAAACCTCACCCTCTAGCACAGTGTGTTACAGAAAAGCATTTAGGAAAGTAATCACTAAAGACAGATTAAATCATCTGTCCTTGCAGTGCCAGCTTCCTTATAAAGACCAGCCAAGGGAGGGTGCTGGTGTTTGCTTCTCATTCATGTGTACTCAGAATGAAACCACTGCTGAACAACTTTTTCAGCCAGCATGCATTTAAATTGCACTTGCTTAGACTGATTATTTGATTGCCCTGGTGTTTGCTAACACAATACTACCTGGCTAACTGTATTTTTGTTTGTTATGAAAGCATGCCAAGTAATACTTAGGAAAACTATTATTTAATCTGATCCTATAACATGTAAATGGTGTAATTTGAAAAGACTAGCAGAATTTTGTTTATTGAAAACATTTATTGCAAACTATCAACCCTGACCTTTTGGATAGCTAGTATACCACCAAATGCAGCTTTCACATAAGTACTTGATAAAATACAATGTATTAAAAGTTACTCTAAAAGTGTTTTTAAACACTGAAATCTCATAAATTTATCACCTGCAGAGAAGGCGCTTCACCTGAGGAGCTGAGACAAGATATAGCTGCTAAACTAGAACTCCACTGGAAGTCACTGGGTGGCAGCTGCAGTTCTTTGCACAGAGATAACTGTAAGAAAGAGATGCCATAATAAATATGAGACTGGAAGAACTTACTCTTCTGTCAAAGTCTTTAGACTTCTTGATCCTGCTAAAAATTAATTTACAACTAGCTCAGACACTGTGTAATGGAACTAAAAGAATGTCCCGAAACATTCTGAGCAAGGTTGTCACAACCAGCAAACAGGTAAAACACCTACTTGAACATTTTCAAACATCACTTTTTTTTTTTAGTTATTTTCAAGTGTTTCTCACAATACTACAATATTGAATTATTTCTTTGAGATGCAATTATTTGACCATTCCTTAATAGAATAGGCTAACAAGGCAGCAAAACAAAATTAAACTAAATTGCTTGAGAAAGCTCCCAAGGTACTAGCAGAGTGAAGAGGGGAAACACTCCTCCTTTGCCTCCCTCAACAAAGTTAAACAATCACAAAAATTTTAATCCCTTGGAAAAAAATCTCTACAAGTACCAGAATTCATATACCTGACACTCCACTGGAAGTGGAGAATCTGTGTAATTAACATACATTGCACTTACTGAAAGAAACTGATTTTGTAACTACATGTTTCCTCTGACCATACTTGCTACTCACTGAAATTATGCTAAAAGAAACACTGCCCAGAGGGGAAAAAAATTTCTTTACATAAGAAACCTAGATGAAACATATGTTCAGCACAGGTGAAACAAACCTTTGTTGACAAGTTGAAAATCAGTCCCAGAATAATCTAACCCAATCTGTAACATACCAACTAGTTTTTAACTATTAAAATAAGCTTTATCAAGACTATCTAAAATAAGAGACACATCTATTAAAATGCAAATAATTAATCTTACTGTTAAGGTGACAATTAAAAATTAAGAGAGGAATATAAAAGTGTTAAGCTCCCTCAAAAGTTTGAGTTCCAGTTATGGTTGTTAGTACGATTTCATACCAACCCTGATGCTTTTAGGGGAAAACGGACAAAATGTAATTTATAAAGAAAAAACCACAACTGAATAACTTGTTCAACTAGCATAACATATAGAAGTTTTTTCATCTTGATCTTCCAGTTACCTTAGCTACTGAAGACTGACCAATCTTCCAAATAATCAGTTTCTCTTTATGGACTAGCCAGGCCCATCCACTTTCATCCACTTCAACGCTCAGCTGGTCATTAGCTACATAGAAAGTAATTTTTTTAAAGCATTCAGATTTTTAAAACACTGCAGAGTAATCTTAAAACTAATAAACTTTCATTCTCATATACAAATAAGAAATATATTTTCTATTAAATTAAATTCCATATTAGAATTTCCACGTATTTAAGATACCAAATTACTATATATAGTTTAAAAAAACATATGATAAGCATTCAACTTTTGCAAGTGAAAGGCAAGGCAATCCTAGAAGCTATTTTCATCAATTTACAGCAGATTATAACAGCTTTTCAAGTTTCGTGGCAATTTTTAAGGTAAGATATGCATTTTTGATTTCTCTTATATCTACGATAAAAAGAAAACTTATCCACAGGGAAAATTTGCTCAGGAGGCCAATTTCTTGAACTCAGGAAAATGGTTTGTATCACTGGGGCTTTTAGAAATGATAACAAACGTGGATTAAAAATAAATTAAAATAAAATTAGAGCACCCACTCTAGGACACAATAGATTCAGAACTACTGAAAAAGGTGAGAAAGAACAAATAAGCAACAGCTACTAAAAGCCTATTACTCCTTATAACCTTGAATTTTACAATATATTGGTTAAGAAAGCACCTGAAGGATATTTACACACATCCATATCCACATGAGTGTTATTACAATTATAGTTACATAGTTAACCACACTGGATTCAAACAAAGGCACAAACATTTCCCTTTCCACTGTAAAGTCAGCATTTAAATGGCATCAACATGTTCACACTTCTCTCACTGGTCAATTTTCATGAGAGAAGTAACAGATAAAACCAGTTCTTACCGTCAGCCTTCTTCAGGGCTTCCATAACGTTAACAGGCAGAGAGGATCCAAAAGCCTTAACATCATAGTTAATAGTCTCGCTTGCTGAGGGATGGTGGATAACTCTGGTAGGAGTGGCTCTTAAAGAAAACAACAAGTTATTGTTAGTTATTTTTGTTGTTTTTTGATCAGTTTCAACAGACATTTACTTCGTTAGTATCTGTTTAGAAACAGACGTGATGAAATGGCTTTATGTAAAATAAGCACGCTCCCTCTGGGAGCGCCATCTAAAGCAGTAATTTGGTGGCCCCCTTACACGTTGCTAGCTGCCCCCAAATTCCTTTATCGTTTAAAGAACTGATTTCAAACACGCATTCCTCCGCCAGCACCATCCCTGTTCAGCTTCCCTACACTCCGGTTCCTGCCGAGCGAGGCTCTCCACAGCGCCGGGAGAAGCTCAGCAGCAGCTCTCCCCTGACCGCAGGCGCCGTTTCCACCCCTGGCCCGGACACCGCCGGGGTCTCCGCACCGTGCAACGCCACCAGCGCGCGCGGCGGCTCGGGCCGGCCGGCGCTGCCACCGCCCTCGCCCTGCGGCGGAGCCCTCAGCTCTCACCTCTTTCCGCCACCGTTTGTTTCCCAGCAGGAGTTACAAAAGCTGCTTTGCCTCTTCCCCCGCGCGCCGGGAGGGCCGAGGCCCGGCGGGAAGAGGCGGCAAAGCGCCCGTCGCCCCTGCTCGGGGCCCGGCAGGGAGGAGGGAGCGGGACTCACCGGGCGGAAAGGGAGCCGCTCCACCGCGCCACCGGGGAGTACAGCACCGGCGAGCCCGCGGCCGCCACGACGGCCAGCTTCTTCCTGGCGCACGGCCGGGAGAGAGGGCTGGAGGCGGCGCTGCCGAGGTTCCCCAGAGCTAACCCACCGGGGGTCGGCGGGGAGGCGGGCGCCGAAGGCAACATGGCCAGACAGCGGGGACCGGGAGCGGACCAGCACCGCGCCTGCGCTCCCGCCTAATGGCGCCGCCTAAAAATGGCGCCGCCTACTAATGGTGGCGCGTAAAAATGGTTCCTGAAAAATTCAAAAACGTAACTAATATGGTAGATCTGTAATTACATGCATGTATTGTCTATATCCCAGATAACATAAATCCCTTATCACTTCTCAGACCCAACATTAATTGCTTTTATATCCATAAAAAAGAATACGTGAGCAAGAGTTAACTGAATTAAAAACAACAAAAAACCTCACCTAGCAACAAAAATGGGCAGTGAAAACCGATTACAAATAAGTTGCTTTTTTAACTGACAAAACATAACATAACTCTCAGTTCTTAATATTTGAGGAAAAGTTCAGAAAAAGCTATTCATTCAAACATCAGAAACTCTCCCTTTGTACTTTACTACATAGCATCATTTGCAAAAATGATGATTCTTCTCTTAATCTCTACACACTTTTCATGCCATTTTGTGCATTTAATTTACATTAAAGCTTGGAACAGAGAAGAGGACTAGAAGGTAGGACAAGTGATGTACAATGGGAAAATATCTGACACAAGCTGTCTGCTCTGTTTATAAAATAAAGAGACATGCTATAAGATGAATACCAGTATAAATCTCCTACTGGTAACTCGAGAGGAATACCTACATTCTAAAAGAAAAATGCTAATGTGTTCATATGAAAATCATTTTTGCGCAAAAGCTTCTGTTGGCATTATTACAAAAAATAGTTGTTTTGAAATGCAACATATGCCAAGTTATCTTTATGCTTTTAACCAAAACATCAACCTAACAGTTAATTACACTGTGAAGCATCTAGGGGGATGAGGGAATGAACACACATATTTTACTTGGTCAGTCTATTTTTAGGAGACCATTAAGCATTTGTCTGCACTTCCAGAGTTTGGGGGTCGCTAGGGAGGGGACACTACAACAGCAAGCACCAAAACTACTGTACTTTCATGCTTTCCTAGTGGAACTGTGTTTGCCTGGAAACAACACAGAGCACATAAGGTCAGTTTTCAAATGGTTGTGTAAAATATGATTATGTAACTGCCGTTAATACAAAATGTGATTAACTATAAAGCTTTCTATTACCTTCTTCCAACAAATCATAGGAAACATCAAGATAGTAACACCTATGCAATTTGCAACAATGTACTTTCCGGTCTCCACATGCACACTTTTCTTCTACCTTCACAATCTGAATCTCTATCAATATGTAAAAAAAGATTACAGAATAATGGGATGGGCTCGGAATACTTAATTTTGGAACAAAGCATGCACAACAGTAGTTACGGTGAGATGTAGGGATTTCACTAAGAAGCAAAATGATATAGTTTTAAAAAGAAGCAAAGTGAGGCACAGCTAGTTGATCACACAAAATTACTTCATTCACTTAGAATTTTTTTTTTTCCCTTACCTGACTCACTGTTCCAATCTTTGTCCTGAACCACAGTGGATTTAACTGACGGATATCAAAGCCATCAACAGTGATAGTACCTTAATTTAAGAAACAGTAAAGTCACGTGTGTTTGACAAGTACTGAAGAGAGGCAGAAAGAACAGCTGAGAACAACGACCCCTGAGGAATCCCATACTGGTGGATCAGAAAGGCAGAAGCTATGCAGGCACCACAAGGTAGCCACATGCCCCAGAGGCAAGCGTGGTGCATCAGTGGAACAGGAACCCCAACTGTTTATAAGGGGTATCTGAGATGCAAAGCATCAGTTGTTATGAATGACAGCAACACGCAAAGCATACCTGAGATAGGATCGTACAGCCTCAGTAGAAGGGATACAATAGTTGATTTCCCTGTACCACTTGGGCCAACCAGAGCCATAACAGAGCCAGCTGGAATGGAAAGGCTAAAATCTTTGAAAATTGATGTTTCTGGACGTGTTGGATATGCAAACTCGACATCCCTGAATTCCAAAGCACCTCTGAATGTGTCTTTGCCTAATGTGATTCCCTCTGTATGACAAAGAAAAAATACAGAAACGTGAACAGAAACAAAAATCAGCTCAGCCCTCCTAGAACTTGCTTTACAGACACCCAATAGAAACATCTATCTCCATGTTAGATCTAGGGATAGGGGCAAGCCACAATTCAGGACCACAGGGATTATATTTCAGCCATGACTGAACCACTGTGCTTTGCCACTTGTCCTGAACGCAACTTCAGGTTGCTCACCAGCAGTGAACCCGTAGGCAAGAGGGTAACTGTACAGCAAGAGGGAGAATTTGCATCTTGCTAATACCTAACAATTCACAATGCTCATTTCTAGTAGAGTTATCTGAATTTTTTAACACATTATAAACAACTTAAGTTTTGTCCACTAGGAGCAATGAAATAAAATGGAGTTGTTGAAGGCCAAAGTCCTGTTGCCATAGAACACATGCAAAAAGATAAACATTGCAAATCACGTACTGCCCTTTCACCGAGCCACAAGTCACCTGAAACACTCTCCGCTTTGGATAAGAGCCCTTCCCTCTCCACTGTCTGTTAACTGGGTAGCTTTTAAGCAAAAACTGTCACTGCAATAAAGTTGCTGCTAGGTTTGTTGCATTAATGGCTATTTTTTAGATTATTTTTTTTTAAAGTGGAAAGTATATTTAATAAATTCAAGACAACTGTGTATTCAACGACCAATCAGAAGCATAACTCTTAAGCAACAATTCACTGAAATTAAAATTTTAGTTTGTGAAATACCATAATGAACCATCATGAAAGAACGACTGCTGAAGTTAAATAAAACCAGCTCCTTTCTGTAGCACGACATTTGATTTAAACAATTATCTTCAGAGAATATCAGCGCTAGAAAAAGTTTATAAATAGGTAAGACAAACACAGTTTCTTCAAGCCCTGTTCAACCTCAGCGATGCACATCCATACAAAGCAAACTAATTGGACAGTGGTGCCGCATTCCCAAGGGACAAAGTCTCACTGATGAAGTTCCTACCAGTTCTGTGAAAACTGGCAGCACCAGAGCAACACCCAAGTAGTGTTTGTTCATGCTAAAGAGATGCAAGTCAAACCCCTTAATTCTTTTCTGATGCAGCACACAAGGAACCCCCAAACAGCCACAGTACACGGTAGCACATGCCCAAGTTTGGTTAAACAGTAACTGTGGATGGGAAACAGACCCTCACGAGTAGCAATCAAGATTTCACTAGTCCTGCTGTCCCCAGAGCAAGTAATTTATTTTGCTTTTCTTTTCCCCATATTCCCTCCTCTTCTCCAGGCGTTCAGTTTAATGGTAGTAGCATAGAAATGGCAAAGGCAAGAGCACACAATTTCAGACTCCTTCTCTGACTTCAATCCGTGGACATATACATTGTAACTTATTTGTTTGGTAAAACCACAAGGGTCTGTAAACCTCCCTTTGGGAATATAAATGTATTTGCTAAATTCTGTGGTAACAGCATAATCCTTACTATTCCCAAGTAACAAGTAATCTCTTATCTTTATTCTCAGTTCAAGTTATTGCACGGTCTATTCCATGGCCTGAAACACTGAAATCTACTGCAATACAGGAAGTATGGTACCACAAGTCCTTCCTCTGTACATTACTGTAAAAATATCTAAAAGCTATATATAGGATTGTACCTGTTTCTTATTTGGATTCTAGATACAGGGAAAAAAGCCATTATAATTTGTTCCAGAGGTATTTGTTATCACCAACAGCTGAAGTTCTGTGAAAATAAAACCTAACTAGCCAAGCGAGTAGATGTTTCAGGTGTGTTTGGGCAGTAAAGAAATAATCTCTTGGCTTTATTGTCTGATGAGACAGAATCAATGATAACTGCGTTTTGAGACAAAGGTTTATATCCTTTCCTATATATTTAGTTTATATTGAAAGGAAATGTAAAAGAAGATTTCTCTAAACCTATGCTACGTGGGCATCTGAAACGTTGATCAATTTGTGTTCCATCTATAAAATAAAGATTGTTTTCTGGATGTCACTATTGATGTGATTAAACAATTCAATACCTTCAGGGGCAAAGACAACTTCTGACCCAATACTACTGCTTATTCTGCCCTGGTACCACTGTAAAGATGAAGAGCACTGAAATAATCCAGATTATAAAAAAAAAAAAAAAAAAAAGAATCCCATCCAAATGATGATGAAATCAACAGTTGCACTAGGTATATGAAGGGCACAGCAAACTTCAGTGCGGCACTGGATGTCATGGCAGGAAGTTTAAGCCAGCTTCACTGCTACAAACCAGAGCGTGTAGTTATTCCTTCATCAGCCAGATAGTGGTTTCCTTTTGGTAATATTACTTTTCACTGACTAAATAAAGTCTATACACATTGAAAAGCATCCTACAGCCAGGTTTGCAGCTGTGAAGAGATAAGAGACAGAGGTCAGAATGTGACTTGGTGTCTATCAGATTAAGAATTTAACGAATTCCAGAACAGGGAGACAGAAGCAAAACAGAAATCTGAAGCACAGCATTTCAAAAGAACCCCTCTGTGGTAATTAACTCAAAACATAAAACTCTATCTGCGCTGCTGCAGCAAAGAAAGCCAACAGGATGCTGGGTTGCATCAAGAAGAGCATCACCAGCAGGGATAAAGAAGTCATTACCCCACTCTACTCAGCACCCATAAGGCCACACCTGGAATACTGTGTTCCATTTTGGTCCCCACTATGCAAAGACAATGTGGACAGGCTGGAGAGGGTCCAGAGAAGGTTCGGCCACAAAGATGATCAAAGGATTGGGAAGCCTGCTGTATGAGGAAAGGCTCAGATCTGGGTTTGTTCAGCATGAAGAAAATGCTTAGGGGGGACCTTATCACCATGTTCCTGTATTTAAAGGGTAGCCACAAGGAAGATGGAGACTCCCTTTTTACAAGGAGTCACATGGAAAAGACATGGGATAATGGGTACAAGTTAGTTCTGGGGAGATTCTGATTGGACCCAAGAGGAAAATTTTTCACAATGAGAACAATCAGCCATTGGAATAATCTCCCCAGGGAAGTGGTGGATTCCCCAACATTGGATACTTCTAAGTTGCTGGGCCATCTTGTCTAGACCGTGCTTTTGCCAAGAAAGGTTGGACCAGAGGATCCTTAAAGTCCCTTCCAACCTGGTGCTCTATGATTTCCTAAAGCCAGAGCTCACTCAAAGCCCTTTTTAGGTCTGTTGGATCTTCTTTTCAGACTCTTCCTCTTAGAGCAGCCCTTAAAAAGTTTACAAACTAGAGGACCATAAACTCAGAGAGAATCTAGTGTTAACAGCTCACCTGGACTCTGCTATATTGCTTTTCTTAACAACACACAGAGCTGGTGAACACTCATGTATGAGTTTTGCTTAGTGGGATGCAGCTGATAAAATTCAGCAATTCGCACAGAAAGTATCTTTTATGAGCAGCTCATTGAATTACTTTGTTGGATACAGGCAAATGCTGTTTATACAAAATATACTCACTACTGGAGGGCATTGTCTAGCTTCCAAATGATAAAGCTGGAAACAAGGTGTTGCTGGAAATACATTTTTTTTACTATATTTAAATATTATTAAATATTTAAAAATATTTTATTATACTATTTAAACAATTAAATATTTAAAACACAGTGGCTAATATTTATTGTTTCTATTTGTTTATATGTTACTATATTTAATTACTTATTTAAGAGGTAGATTTATAGATGAAGTTTGCGTATCTTCTTTTTGGGATTTGACTACTACATCAGCAAACTCACATAAAAATCTAACACCTCTCAAAGGTACTCTTCTATAAATGTACCGATAAAAACAGATGTGATTTCAGACTCACAAACCTATCTTTAGGCCTAAAGCAGCCCATGAAAAAAATTCAGATGTGAACGACTGATTTGACACAAAAATTGCTTTGTTTCTCCTCGCACTTCCAACAATGTCAAACTTGATTCATCAGGGATACTACCTCCCCTTCAAAACTTCCTTGTTTGTATCCTTGGAACACTGCAGCTATACGAAAAATATTATCACCATGTTACCAGGTCCAACACTACACATGCCCAGCTAGGCAACCGCGTGGTATGGCAGGCTGCTCATGCAGCAAAATGCCCACAGCTCCCCTACCCATAGGTGAGTCAGGTAAGCCGTGTGCTAGAGTGGCTCCTTGCCCCTCAAAGACGGGAGAAATGTGGGCAGCACTACTGAGAAGGGTGCAAATCATTTCAAAAGCAACACCTGCTGTACCTGCACATCCACACCCTCCCATGAAGCAGGGCTCCCCAGCTCAGCTCCATCCCTTCCTCGCTTTCATTCCCCAGTCATGCCTCAGTCCCCCACTCCAAAATTCAGTCTGGCATGTGGTGCTGAAAGGCCTCAAACTGTCTGTGCCTGCAAATTCAGCTTCAAATCAACATGTCTCACCAAGGAACCGTTTTCACGAGGTTAGTATGAACCCTTTAAACCTGAGACAGTCTTAATGAAAAACACCTGGTTTTGAAAGCGTCTCTTTTCAGACTGCTAATCTCTTAGCCAGGAGAGATGAGCATGGTAAACCTTTTAGTGGAAATACGAGATACAGCCATCTCAGAGCTCCTCCCACCCCTCCTTTTCCTTTCTTCCAACTCTTTTCACTCTAAAGCTGATCCAAGAGAAAGTGGGGATGACATCAAAGAAATATTTCAAGAAGCTAGAAATGAGCATGTCCTCAGTCACCTAACTTTCAAAGTAATATATTTAAAAGCATATTCTGAATTAAAGGAAAAACCCACCAAGTTTTCAGCTTCTAATATTTCTGATTAAAGGAAAATTTCATCATTTGTTTCAGTTAGGAAAAGTCAGAAGAATTACCTAGTTTATTTCAGAAGAATGTAAGTCAGTACTACCTTTAAGTATTGCAAACATCCTTCTGAAGTACTGGTGACCAATAAGAGAAAAATCAACCTAGGAACAGTAACAAACCAAGGACTCACCATTAAATGGAAGTTGGGGCTTCCTTTCAATAAGTTCCCACAGACGTCCACCAGCACCTAGTCCTTTCATTAGCTCCGAATAAAAGGAACTCAGACCTAATCAAAAGGTAAAACAGTATTATGCACCCATACGGAATGGAAGACATAGGAGACATACAATTTGCATTATACTTTTCATCACCAGCATTGAAGAATCAGATGCGTAGGGAACCTTTTATTCCAACACGCTATCAAACATGCTGATTTAAACCCTACCTAGTCTCACTTGAGAGCTACCAATAACCCTTACTCACCATTCTTATCAGTAAAATAAATCAGTCTGAAATAAAAGTAAGAAAACATTAATACACTTAAGCTTGCATATACTCAAAAGCAAAGCAACTCTTTTTCAGGCGGCCGGCTGGGTGGGGTGGCCCCACAAAAACACGGGGCGCCTCGCCCGGGTCGGCTTGAAGAAGAGGGGGTGCGCTCGGTCCTTCGGGATGCTGCCGGAGGGATTCACAAGGCTGGATTTGGGAAGCAGTTTTCGCTGAATTCATGCAGTTCTGGCGCTCAGTAGGGCAGAGACAGGTGGCTGGATGCACTCAGGGAACAGCGGCTGAAAGACCCTTGCAAACCGCTGCCTGGCACGTCGGGAAGGACGCGCATTCCACCGACGTTGTGGCCCGATCTTTAAAATTGCCTGTGTTGCGTAACCTGTGTTTGTCCCAAGATTTCTAATAAAAATAAACACCAAGAAAACATTCTTTGCCAACATTGGTATGCTTCACACCTGTGGTAAATGAAAATCATGCACTACAACTATTCCAAGGTATAGAATTAGATTTTAGTCTTAAAGGGGAACTACATTTTCTCACTGAAAGAAAAAACTGCATTGATTTGCATGAAAAAGCTTTCAGAAGATATGTGTGTACCATCTACTTGGGGAAGGAGTTGTATGTATATTATCAAGCTAATCAGTTAAGATCAAATTAACTAAAAATAGAATGTTCCAAAATTTCCCATAATTTTTCAAAAATATGTTATTTGATTAGAAGAGCTATGGGTGTTAAGCTTTCTCTATTGGTTGTGGTCCAATATGACTGAACCTGAAATGCAGAGGTTAAACTTGAGATGCTTCATCTGGCAGTACTGAAGTTTGGGGAACCTGTGTATGTCAGTGGTTTGCCTTTTAACTTCACTCTGTCTCCTTTGGCTTTGATTTTATGGGAAAAGCAAAGTATGAACATTTAGCGGAGCTTTACTATACTGTTACATTAATGTAGTATCCTTCTATATAGCCTTCTCTATTATATTCCGTGCAGTGGTGCTAAATCATGTTAACTGTTGTTTCAACAAGAAAAACAAGCCAAACCAAAGAGAAATGCACACACAAGCAAATGGGGAAAAAGAGAGTAAAACTAAAGCTGCCATCCACATTTCCCACCGTCCATCAACAGTGACATTCAAATTATTTTAAAAACTGAAAGCTCCTCTTCATATCTAATTTGTAAAATATTTAGGATGATGCAGTGTCAGCAGCCGTTTTTTGCTGATTGACTCCCATATTCTCTTTGCCACACTTCCTCAGGGAATTACTCAGCTGCCTTTTGCTGTCCTAGCACTGTGTTGAGCTCCATCTTCAGGAGACAGGATACAACTCAACCTTTAAATCTAATTTTTGACATGGAACTAGTTTATGCCGATATTGGTTAGAGACTTAACCAGTTCTTGAACTGGGACTCATGTGGCATATGTTTTTCACATGAAAAGGTGAATGTCGAGCAGGCAATTTTGACAATACTGACCTAGTGGGGACTCGACCTAAGAGAATGGAAGTAGTGAACTTATATTAGAGCCACAACTTGAAAATGTATGGGATTGATCATCTTTTTACTTCTGTTTTTTTTTTGTTTTGTTTTGTTTTTTTTTTTTATTTATTGGTTGATGGATTGAAAACCAGTGTAGAAAATACTGCTTGGGTAGACTACCCACAAATAGCTCCCTACCCATTTAGAAACAAAATTAGTTTGAAAGGGTAGCAGCAAACTCCATCACCTACAAAACAAATAAAATTGTCATGAATTAGTTAACTGAATATGCCTTGTGGGACTATGCAGATGTTTAAACAAAGCTGTGTGTTAAAGATCAGTACCATTTTCTTCTTCATAAGATAAAAAATATAATGTCTTGCTCATCAGATTCACAGTTTCCTGATAGGTCAGAGTGTTAATCTATTGGATCATTGCATCATGACTTTAAGACCCCTTAAGGAACTGGAAATGATTGTCCACATTCAAGACAGCTGAAAATGTTGAGCAGTGGAGAGGTGAAGGCAGAATTGGTGGAAATCACAAAGGCAGGATAATTTCTTCTATTACTCCAGTAACTGTCAACTTCCTTTTCAAATATTAAAGTATTGATAGAGAGGCTCTCTCTATCAGAAGATTAAAGCAGAAAGTTGCATTTTGAAACCTGAGTTGAAAGAACTTTAGCTGAGAGATGCCAATCATTCACCACAGTGATAATGTTGTGATCAGTACTCTATTTAAGCATTAAAATAAATAGTTTAATGAGTAGTTTAAGTAATACAGTTACTCAAGACACTTTATTTTCAGTGTCTTATTTCACTCAGGAAAACATTCGTGCTGCCAAAAATCAGAAAACTAACTAGGAACACAGTAAAGGGATTACGCATACATTGAGAGCTGACCTTTCATTAAGCCTCCAAATACTCAACCTTAATTAGTAAAGTCAATTTAGCAAGGTAGTTTTGAAAAGCAATTAGATACAGTATTTAAGCCCCAAAAGTCATGACTGAGCAGCAAAAGTTAAGGAAGGAAATAGTTCTGGTCCCCGTGGCAAGGGTAAAAAAGGCAGTATTTACAAAAGTCTTCAAAATAATGCCCATAGAGATCAACTAAAATATGGCAACTAGTGATAAAAACTGGAAGATATTTTTATTACGTATTTGATATATGGGTGTGCATGTGAAATTAATTACATTTATTCTTTAATGCCTGGGAAATCATCTTTATTACTTTTCTACACAGAGAAGATATGTTTAGGCCAAAGTTGAAAACTAGTGTGTGCAGCATAAAAGAGAGATGGCCTTATACAGTGTGCTGCACCAGGGCTGCAAGGACACTTTGAAACCTCTACCAATTCTGCATAAGGTCTGACCTTTCATTCAGGAGATGCTGGGTAAGTTTAATTTGACTTAAATCGTATTTGTCTGCGATCAAAAGCATTTCTGAGTACCTTTTGGCCTTTGGAATGCACTAGGAGGAGCACAGCTGTATTGAGCTGTTAATAACCATCCCTCATGGAGCTGAACCTCTTCCTACTAGCAGGAGCTTAAACAAAACAAATAGCAGATACGCAGTGTTACTAAAGACTGAAGGGGCAACGATGGAGAATACAGTCAGTGAGTGTAAGAAAGCTTGGTTTAAACTTATTTGCGATGCCCAGTCAGATACTCTCACATTAAGTCTTTTCTACACCGCATGGCCCCTGTTTGTCCTACGGACTGCACAACGCAGGGCAGCAGCGTGAAACAGTGGTCCTTAGCAGAAGACACCTATCAGGATTGTTAGAGATACACCAGGAGTTTCCGCCTTAGACAGGAAAGTCTTCCACTCTTGTAACATCAGTGTGCAGTACTTCCATTTTTCTTTCTCTCACCTTTTTCCACATTAAGCTACTAGGGCTCCTACAGTTCAAAATGCAATGCTATCCAGTGTTGAGTAGCACTGCTGTGCTACTCATGCCCTGTGCACACATCACATACGTTGCAGGTGTGTAATCCACAAACCTGCAGCTGTCCAGCAAGGCTTTCCACTTGCAAATTCCTAAGAAACTTTGTTTTCTTACCTTGTTGAAGTCTGTGGTTTGTTCCAAGGAGTATTTCAAGTGGTTCTAACCTGAAGAGTCTGTTATTCAGTGTACCTGTTATGACAGACATTCCCCTTTCTGTGGACTGGAGCTTCTTTTTATCTTTTCTGTAGATTACAACCCTGTCAGAACAACTAATGAACAAAAAGACATAAAACATTCCTTCAATTAGGGTGCAAGTAATTCCTGTAACCTGTGACTAAAGGGGGTCGCTGCATCTCACATAAGGAGGGATTACATGAGTAAAGATTAAAGTTCAAGTCCCTCTACATACATTAGAAAGAGAATAATTGGTAATCAACACAGAAATTAATCACTGGGTCAGTGGTATTTCTGGCATACCTTTATTACAGTATCTGCTTTTAGTAAAGCTGTATCAGAAGATAAAATTACATGTGGATGTAATTTTGTTTTCATTCCCTAGCACACAGATCTCTTTAGAGTTTTCACTGTGTTCCACAAAGGGCCAATAATGGCCCATTAGACAAACATTTTAAGCTCTCCCAACACTAGGTATCTCACCTATTGCCAACAAAGTTTTCCAGCAATAAGTTTTCCTAGCATAGATGAGCTTTAATGTGACCTGGAAATTTACTAGCTTTTTAATATTATCTTGTGGGGTTTTGCATCCTCAGAAAGTCTAGAGAGATTCTATTAAAAGAGATTCTCAAATTAGAAACATGAAGCCTACCCTTTACTGCCAAATGTACCCTCCTGCAGTTATTCAAATCAATGTAATGCTGTTTATTTTACTAGTTGTCCTTGCAGAGGTAGTTTACTAGTTGTCCCTAATTAAGTAGTTAGGGAAAACTGGGGATTTCTATGAATGAAATTTTAAGTAACAATAAAAAACTTACACATGCTTTAAAAAAAGGACAAAAACTTACATTATGAGTGTGTTCTTGTGGATGCCATCTTACAAAGGCATCTTACAAAGGAAGTGAAACTAAAGAACTGTAAAATAGAGAAGAAAATGCATGCAAATTTTAGATTTTCCTATGCTGACTTAATATACCAAAACACTTTCTTTGTCCTTATGTAAAGTCAGTTAGGTTTTTTGTTTGGTTGTGCTTTTTTGTGGGGTTTTTGTTTGTGTTTTTAAAGAACTTTCCTCCAACTCACGCTTCCATATTCTCTAAAATGTTTTCTCATATGTAATTCTCTACAGTAACTGTAGATGGTGATCATAATCAACTTCCAGATTTCAGAACATATGGTAACTGAAAGGACAGTGCAGTGGAAGTCAGACAGAGCTTTCAGAGTACGTTAGTGTCACACATTTCTGAATTCCAGCATTTTAAGACTACTGACAAGCACAGAAAGCAAAAGTTCCTTGAAAATGGAAGAGACAATGATATGAAAATGAAAAGACTGTCATTTAATTACCCTTAAAATACTGTATTTGCTTGAGAATGCAACACATGATCATACAGTGCATTACAGAAAACGATTCTAAATGGTCTCAATTAACATGACACAAAACAGAAAAATCCACACACTGAAATAATCTCAGTGTGATAGACATTTTTAAAAGTTGTGATACTTATTAAAAAGCTTTCAATAAAAAGTTTAAACACATTTAAGTTTCAAAGAATATTTTGTACATTTTGGAAAAATATAACATTTACATAACTGACACATAAGTTATATTCTTTGTAGTTTGTAAGTTTCCATTATCCGTATGTTCTCTCATACATTTTCTTTTAATACATCCTTTTCTCTAGATTGTAAATCTAATGCAAAAGTATCACCATTCTGAAGAAAAGCTTGTTTCTGCATTAGTTTCCTGAAAAGTCCATTTGGATTTGCAAGTAGGTCCTCATGTTTTCCACATTCAAGAATTTTACCCTGGCCAAGGACTGCAACAAAATCAGCATTCTGAATAGTAGACAGACGATGAGCAATAATTAGGACTGTCCTCCCTTCCATCAGCCGGTCCAGAGCTTCTTGCACTAGATACTCATTTTCAGCATCCAAAGCGCTAGTAAGAAATGGGAAGCATGAGGGGACAAAGGAGGATATTTTAAGACAGGTTAATTTTATATGTATTAGGCTTATTTTGCTAAAACTGCAAACCTTTGCTATTGTTGGTGAAGATGAGCCAATGGAACTGCATGAAAGTTTCGTGAACATGCTTAGTGCACACATCTAAGTTATAGGCACTACATATTCTCATATGCAAAAATATGCATGGAGAAATAACACTAAATTAATTCAGTGAAAAAAATTAAGTTATACTTAATATATTATAAGGTATAATCACCTCTGTTTTACACTAAGATCATAGTTTAAAGATACAAAAAAGATTTAAGTAGATGTTTCAAAATCAAGTTACATATTACAAATTTAACTTCATCAAAAATTACAGCAGTGTGCCAGCTACCCTTTGCATAAACAGCTTTTATCACAGGTCTCCTAACCAATTCACACATTCTATAAAGCACATTCTTTTTGTGGGTAGAGAAAAATAAGGGGCTAGGTAATTTGTGCAAGGGCATTCAAAGAAGGAAAGAGAGAACTCCCAAATCTAAGTTTTACAGACAGATAATTTCTAAGCTTCTATTTATTTTCTTTCTTACCTCGTTGCTTCATCTAACAGAAGAATCTTAGGATTCTGAAGAAGAAAGTAAAATTGGTTATAATAAGAATTAGACAAGATCTGCTTATTTATATCAATACAGAATAGGATTCATACAGCTTAAAACTCCAAGGAAGCGTACTTCATCAAAAGAACTGACTGTTGTTCAAAGTATAACTTTTAAGAAGCCTAAATCCTCGGGTGACAAAACAGAAATAACACTCTTCCATCTTCAAATTTTCCAAACTAAAGTAACAGAACGCTATTACCTGATAACTATTTAAAAGATACAAACTAAAGGTAGGTCATGATTTTTAATGCATACTTGGTAGCATTGTAGTCAAAAGTTCAATTTCCTATTTACTGCTCTTATGTGGATCTTTCACAGAGGCCCAGCTACTCTCTGCTTTCTGTCAGTCTGCTATATATAATGGTCTAGTAGCAAAAAATAACAACCTACCAACAAGCAGCATTTCACCCACAGATGAAATAAGTAGTATTTAAGAGCTAGCATTTAAGAACTCTTCCCAATTAAATAAAAAATAATAATAAAAAAAATTGCCAGCACTCATATCCCTAAGAAGCTGCTTCTGAACTACAGTACATAAACCAAACTTGATAAAGTTGAGACTAAAAGCTTTAGACTTCATCTGGAAGAGAAGGGACTCCACTGCACCCCCAATCACATATGTATCAACTACTCATTTATTTTTTACAACTTTTCCCCGCCCCCCCCCGCTCCCAATGAAGTCTCTACTCCCATGAACTGTACTTGACATGAAATGCAATTAGCTTTTCAGCATTCATGGTGAAAGAGAACTGCTATAATGAAAAATTCCCAGTAATCTAGCAGAACTGGGCATGCTAAAATGCTATAGAGACCCACGCAGCTTAACATGAATGTAAGCTGAATTCAGCAAGGGTCAAAAGCTTCCAGCCACCCTGTAAGGCCCCATGGCTGTCCCTGAACCAAATTCCCTGTCCTGATCCTCAGAAGCCTCCTCAAATTTGTGTAGCGCAGAGTCTGCCCTAAAGCCAGAACCATGCCAACCCTTGAAGAAAAAAATGACACAAAACTGTGACCAAAATAGTATCTTGTCCCATATCCAGACCAGCTCCCCTCAAAGCCAAGACAGGGCATCTGTAGTGCCAGTAACCTGCAACCCAGAAGACAGAGATCTAAACAGAGATTGAAATGTCATATACAAGTTTACTGGCACCACATTCTTAAAGTCTTCCTTCATCCTTGACCCGGTCTTCTGAAAGTGAGCCATTATAACATGATTTACCACCAGTTTTGGCAAGAACTATCAAAAAACATGACTAAAAGACAAGAAGAAGCACTTATGTAAGTAAACTGTCTTTAGTTAAACCACTTGGCCCTTTCAAGCTTCTTAATTAATATAAAAGATACAATTTTCTTTTTAAAAATACTTTTTAACCTCTCTCATTGAAACATATCCTCCTTTTTAACCCTTCCGACCTCCCCACAAAGTAGTTAAATAGCTATTTGAGTGCTGGCTTACCTTGAGCAGAGCTCGAGCAATCGCAATTCGTTGTTTCTGTCCACCTAGGGGAAAAAGCTCAGTAAATTGAAATAGGGAAAAAGATGTGAAGTAATTTTAACTGAATGCATGGGCTGAGCAGAATTAGGCATATGTACTTTAGAGGGGGAATGGAGATGAAGGAGGGCATTTTTTTAATACTTAAGGCAGGCTATGACTTGAAGAAAGAACTGGTAACAAAAAATAACAGAATTTTTACTTCACTCTATAGCATCAAGATTTTTAAGATAAGCAGTATAAAAAAGTACCTGAAAGCAAAATGCCTTTTTCTCCAACTACAGTGTCAAACCCTTTTGGAAAATCTCTGATAAAACTAGCAGCATTAGCTATTTCAGCAACTTTCTGAATCTCCTCTGCAGTCACAGTAGAAGGATCCTCTGCACCATAGGCAATATTTTCAGCAATAGAACAGGAGAACAGAATTGGTTCCTGAAAAATTCAAAAACATAACTAATATGGTAGATCTGTAATTACATGCATGTATTGTCTATATCCCAGATAACATAAATCCCTTATCACTTCTCAGACCCAACATTAATTGCTTTTATATCCATAAAAAAGAATACGTGAGCAAGAGTTAACTGAATTAAAAACAACAAAAAACCTCACCTAGCAACAAAAATGGGCAGTGAAAACCGATTACAAATAAGTTGCTTTTTTAACTGACAAAACATAACATAACTCTCAGTTCTTAATATTTGAGGAAAAGTTCAGAAAAAGCTATTCATTCAAACATCAGAAACTCTCCCTTTGTACTTTACTACATAGCATCATTTGCAAAAATGATGATTCTTCTCTTAATCTCTACACACTTTTCATGCCATTTTGTGCATTTAATTTACATTAAAGCTTGGAACAGAGAAGAGGACTAGAAGGTAGGACAAGTGATGTACAATGGGAAAATATCTGACACAAGCTGTCTGCTCTGTTTATAAAATAAAGAGACATGCTATAAGATGAATACCAGTATAAATCTCCTACTGGTAACTCGAGAGGAATACCTACATTCTAAAAGAAAAATGCTAATGTGTTCATATGAAAATCATTTTTGCGCAAAAGCTTCTGTTGGCATTATTACAAAAAATAGTTGTTTTGAAATGCAACATATGCCAAGTTATCTTTATGCTTTTAACCAAAACATCAACCTAACAGTTAATTACACTGTGAAGCATCTAGGGGGATGAGGGAATGAACACACATATTTTACTTGGTCAGTCTATTTTTAGGAGACCATTAAGCATTTGTCTGCACTTCCAGAGTTTGGGGGTCGCTAGGGAGGGGACACTACAACAGCAAGCACCAAAACTACTGTACTTTCATGCTTTCCTAGTGGAACTGTGTTTGCCTGGAAACAACACAGAGCACATAAGGTCAGTTTTCAAATGGTTGTGTAAAATATGATTATGTAACTGCCGTTAATACAAAATGTGATTAACTATAAAGCTTTCTATTACCTTCTTCCAACAAATCATAGGAAACATCAAGATAGTAACACCTATGCAATTTGCAACAATGTACTTTCCGGTCTCCACATGCACACTTTTCTTCTACCTTCACAATCTGAATCTCTATCAATATGTAAAAAAAGATTACAGAATAATGGGATGGGCTCGGAATACTTAATTTTGGAACAAAGCATGCACAACAGTAGTTACGGTGAGATGTAGGGATTTCACTAAGAAGCAAAATGATATAGTTTTAAAAAGAAGCAAAGTGAGGCACAGCTAGTTGATCACACAAAATTACTTCATTCACTTAGAATTTTTTTTTTTCCCTTACCTGACTCACTGTTCCAATCTTTGTCCTGAACCACAGTGGATTTAACTGACGGATATCAAAGCCATCAACAGTGATAGTACCTTAATTTAAGAAACAGTAAAGTCACGTGTGTTTGACAAGTACTGAAGAGAGGCAGAAAGAACAGCTGAGAACAACGACCCCTGAGGAATCCCATACTGGTGGATCAGAAAGGCAGAAGCTATGCAGGCACCACAAGGTAGCCACATGCCCCAGAGGCAAGCGTGGTGCATCAGTGGAACAGGAACCCCAACTGTTTATAAGGGGTATCTGAGATGCAAAGCATCAGTTGTTATGAATGACAGCAACACGCAAAGCATACCTGAGATAGGATCGTACAGCCTCAGTAGAAGGGATACAATAGTTGATTTCCCTGTACCACTTGGGCCAACCAGAGCCATAACAGAGCCAGCTGGAATGGAAAGGCTAAAATCTTTGAAAATTGATGTTTCTGGACGTGTTGGATATGCAAACTCGACATCCCTGAATTCCAAAGCACCTCTGAATGTGTCTTTGCCTAATGTGATTCCCTCTGTATGACAAAGAAAAAATACAGAAACGTGAACAGAAACAAAAATCAGCTCAGCCCTCCTAGAACTTGCTTTACAGACACCCAATAGAAACATCTATCTCCATGTTAGATCTAGGGATAGGGGCAAGCCACAATTCAGGACCACAGGGATTATATTTCAGCCATGACTGAACCACTGTGCTTTGCCACTTGTCCTGAACGCAACTTCAGGTTGCTCACCAGCAGTGAACCCGTAGGCAAGAGGGTAACTGTACAGCAAGAGGGAGAATTTGCATCTTGCTAATACCTAACAATTCACAATGCTCATTTCTAGTAGAGTTATCTGAATTTTTTAACACATTATAAACAACTTAAGTTTTGTCCACTAGGAGCAATGAAATAAAATGGAGTTGTTGAAGGCCAAAGTCCTGTTGCCATAGAACACATGCAAAAAGATAAACATTGCAAATCACGTACTGCCCTTTCACCGAGCCACAAGTCACCTGAAACACTCTCCGCTTTGGATAAGAGCCCTTCCCTCTCCACTGTCTGTTAACTGGGTAGCTTTTAAGCAAAAACTGTCACTGCAATAAAGTTGCTGCTAGGTTTGTTGCATTAATGGCTATTTTTTAGATTATTTTTTTTTAAAGTGGAAAGTATATTTAATAAATTCAAGACAACTGTGTATTCAACGACCAATCAGAAGCATAACTCTTAAGCAACAATTCACTGAAATTAAAATTTTAGTTTGTGAAATACCATAATGAACCATCATGAAAGAACGACTGCTGAAGTTAAATAAAACCAGCTCCTTTCTGTAGCACGACATTTGATTTAAACAATTATCTTCAGAGAATATCAGCGCTAGAAAAAGTTTATAAATAGGTAAGACAAACACAGTTTCTTCAAGCCCTGTTCAACCTCAGCGATGCACATCCATACAAAGCAAACTAATTGGACAGTGGTGCCGCATTCCCAAGGGACAAAGTCTCACTGATGAAGTTCCTACCAGTTCTGTGAAAACTGGCAGCACCAGAGCAACACCCAAGTAGTGTTTGTTCATGCTAAAGAGATGCAAGTCAAACCCCTTAATTCTTTTCTGATGCAGCACACAAGGAACCCCCAAACAGCCACAGTACACGGTAGCACATGCCCAAGTTTGGTTAAACAGTAACTGTGGATGGGAAACAGACCCTCACGAGTAGCAATCAAGATTTCACTAGTCCTGCTGTCCCCAGAGCAAGTAATTTATTTTGCTTTTCTTTTCCCCATATTCCCTCCTCTTCTCCAGGCGTTCAGTTTAATGGTAGTAGCATAGAAATGGCAAAGGCAAGAGCACACAATTTCAGACTCCTTCTCTGACTTCAATCCGTGGACATATACATTGTAACTTATTTGTTTGGTAAAACCACAAGGGTCTGTAAACCTCCCTTTGGGAATATAAATGTATTTGCTAAATTCTGTGGTAACAGCATAATCCTTACTATTCCCAAGTAACAAGTAATCTCTTATCTTTATTCTCAGTTCAAGTTATTGCACGGTCTATTCCATGGCCTGAAACACTGAAATCTACTGCAATACAGGAAGTATGGTACCACAAGTCCTTCCTCTGTACATTACTGTAAAAATATCTAAAAGCTATATATAGGATTGTACCTGTTTCTTATTTGGATTCTAGATACAGGGAAAAAAGCCATTATAATTTGTTCCAGAGGTATTTGTTATCACCAACAGCTGAAGTTCTGTGAAAATAAAACCTAACTAGCCAAGCGAGTAGATGTTTCAGGTGTGTTTGGGCAGTAAAGAAATAATCTCTTGGCTTTATTGTCTGATGAGACAGAATCAATGATAACTGCGTTTTGAGACAAAGGTTTATATCCTTTCCTATATATTTAGTTTATATTGAAAGGAAATGTAAAAGAAGATTTCTCTAAACCTATGCTACGTGGGCATCTGAAACGTTGATCAATTTGTGTTCCATCTATAAAATAAAGATTGTTTTCTGGATGTCACTATTGATGTGATTAAACAATTCAATACCTTCAGGGGCAAAGACAACTTCTGACCCAATACTACTGCTTATTCTGCCCTGGTACCACTGTAAAGATGAAGAGCACTGAAATAATCCAGATTATAAAAAAAAAAAAAAAAAAAAGAATCCCATCCAAATGATGATGAAATCAACAGTTGCACTAGGTATATGAAGGGCACAGCAAACTTCAGTGCGGCACTGGATGTCATGGCAGGAAGTTTAAGCCAGCTTCACTGCTACAAACCAGAGCGTGTAGTTATTCCTTCATCAGCCAGATAGTGGTTTCCTTTTGGTAATATTACTTTTCACTGACTAAATAAAGTCTATACACATTGAAAAGCATCCTACAGCCAGGTTTGCAGCTGTGAAGAGATAAGAGACAGAGGTCAGAATGTGACTTGGTGTCTATCAGATTAAGAATTTAACGAATTCCAGAACAGGGAGACAGAAGCAAAACAGAAATCTGAAGCACAGCATTTCAAAAGAACCCCTCTGTGGTAATTAACTCAAAACATAAAACTCTATCTGCGCTGCTGCAGCAAAGAAAGCCAACAGGATGCTGGGTTGCATCAAGAAGAGCATCACCAGCAGGGATAAAGAAGTCATTACCCCACTCTACTCAGCACCCATAAGGCCACACCTGGAATACTGTGTTCCATTTTGGTCCCCACTATGCAAAGACAATGTGGACAGGCTGGAGAGGGTCCAGAGAAGGTTCGGCCACAAAGATGATCAAAGGATTGGGAAGCCTGCTGTATGAGGAAAGGCTCAGATCTGGGTTTGTTCAGCATGAAGAAAATGCTTAGGGGGGACCTTATCACCATGTTCCTGTATTTAAAGGGTAGCCACAAGGAAGATGGAGACTCCCTTTTTACAAGGAGTCACATGGAAAAGACATGGGATAATGGGTACAAGTTAGTTCTGGGGAGATTCTGATTGGACCCAAGAGGAAAATTTTTCACAATGAGAACAATCAGCCATTGGAATAATCTCCCCAGGGAAGTGGTGGATTCCCCAACATTGGATACTTCTAAGTTGCTGGGCCATCTTGTCTAGACCGTGCTTTTGCCAAGAAAGGTTGGACCAGAGGATCCTTAAAGTCCCTTCCAACCTGGTGCTCTATGATTTCCTAAAGCCAGAGCTCACTCAAAGCCCTTTTTAGGTCTGTTGGATCTTCTTTTCAGACTCTTCCTCTTAGAGCAGCCCTTAAAAAGTTTACAAACTAGAGGACCATAAACTCAGAGAGAATCTAGTGTTAACAGCTCACCTGGACTCTGCTATATTGCTTTTCTTAACAACACACAGAGCTGGTGAACACTCATGTATGAGTTTTGCTTAGTGGGATGCAGCTGATAAAATTCAGCAATTCGCACAGAAAGTATCTTTTATGAGCAGCTCATTGAATTACTTTGTTGGATACAGGCAAATGCTGTTTATACAAAATATACTCACTACTGGAGGGCATTGTCTAGCTTCCAAATGATAAAGCTGGAAACAAGGTGTTGCTGGAAATACATTTTTTTTACTATATTTAAATATTATTAAATATTTAAAAATATTTTATTATACTATTTAAACAATTAAATATTTAAAACACAGTGGCTAATATTTATTGTTTCTATTTGTTTATATGTTACTATATTTAATTACTTATTTAAGAGGTAGATTTATAGATGAAGTTTGCGTATCTTCTTTTTGGGATTTGACTACTACATCAGCAAACTCACATAAAAATCTAACACCTCTCAAAGGTACTCTTCTATAAATGTACCGATAAAAACAGATGTGATTTCAGACTCACAAACCTATCTTTAGGCCTAAAGCAGCCCATGAAAAAAATTCAGATGTGAACGACTGATTTGACACAAAAATTGCTTTGTTTCTCCTCGCACTTCCAACAATGTCAAACTTGATTCATCAGGGATACTACCTCCCCTTCAAAACTTCCTTGTTTGTATCCTTGGAACACTGCAGCTATACGAAAAATATTATCACCATGTTACCAGGTCCAACACTACACATGCCCAGCTAGGCAACCGCGTGGTATGGCAGGCTGCTCATGCAGCAAAATGCCCACAGCTCCCCTACCCATAGGTGAGTCAGGTAAGCCGTGTGCTAGAGTGGCTCCTTGCCCCTCAAAGACGGGAGAAATGTGGGCAGCACTACTGAGAAGGGTGCAAATCATTTCAAAAGCAACACCTGCTGTACCTGCACATCCACACCCTCCCATGAAGCAGGGCTCCCCAGCTCAGCTCCATCCCTTCCTCGCTTTCATTCCCCAGTCATGCCTCAGTCCCCCACTCCAAAATTCAGTCTGGCATGTGGTGCTGAAAGGCCTCAAACTGTCTGTGCCTGCAAATTCAGCTTCAAATCAACATGTCTCACCAAGGAACCGTTTTCACGAGGTTAGTATGAACCCTTTAAACCTGAGACAGTCTTAATGAAAAACACCTGGTTTTGAAAGCGTCTCTTTTCAGACTGCTAATCTCTTAGCCAGGAGAGATGAGCATGGTAAACCTTTTAGTGGAAATACGAGATACAGCCATCTCAGAGCTCCTCCCACCCCTCCTTTTCCTTTCTTCCAACTCTTTTCACTCTAAAGCTGATCCAAGAGAAAGTGGGGATGACATCAAAGAAATATTTCAAGAAGCTAGAAATGAGCATGTCCTCAGTCACCTAACTTTCAAAGTAATATATTTAAAAGCATATTCTGAATTAAAGGAAAAACCCACCAAGTTTTCAGCTTCTAATATTTCTGATTAAAGGAAAATTTCATCATTTGTTTCAGTTAGGAAAAGTCAGAAGAATTACCTAGTTTATTTCAGAAGAATGTAAGTCAGTACTACCTTTAAGTATTGCAAACATCCTTCTGAAGTACTGGTGACCAATAAGAGAAAAATCAACCTAGGAACAGTAACAAACCAAGGACTCACCATTAAATGGAAGTTGGGGCTTCCTTTCAATAAGTTCCCACAGACGTCCACCAGCACCTAGTCCTTTCATTAGCTCCGAATAAAAGGAACTCAGACCTAATCAAAAGGTAAAACAGTATTATGCACCCATACGGAATGGAAGACATAGGAGACATACAATTTGCATTATACTTTTCATCACCAGCATTGAAGAATCAGATGCGTAGGGAACCTTTTATTCCAACACGCTATCAAACATGCTGATTTAAACCCTACCTAGTCTCACTTGAGAGCTACCAATAACCCTTACTCACCATTCTTATCAGTAAAATAAATCAGTCTGAAATAAAAGTAAGAAAACATTAATACACTTAAGCTTGCATATACTCAAAAGCAAAGCAACTCTTTTTCAGGCGGCCGGCTGGGTGGGGTGGCCCCACAAAAACACGGGGCGCCTCGCCCGGGTCGGCTTGAAGAAGAGGGGGTGCGCTCGGTCCTTCGGGATGCTGCCGGAGGGATTCACAAGGCTGGATTTGGGAAGCAGTTTTCGCTGAATTCATGCAGTTCTGGCGCTCAGTAGGGCAGAGACAGGTGGCTGGATGCACTCAGGGAACAGCGGCTGAAAGACCCTTGCAAACCGCTGCCTGGCACGTCGGGAAGGACGCGCATTCCACCGACGTTGTGGCCCGATCTTTAAAATTGCCTGTGTTGCGTAACCTGTGTTTGTCCCAAGATTTCTAATAAAAATAAACACCAAGAAAACATTCTTTGCCAACATTGGTATGCTTCACACCTGTGGTAAATGAAAATCATGCACTACAACTATTCCAAGGTATAGAATTAGATTTTAGTCTTAAAGGGGAACTACATTTTCTCACTGAAAGAAAAAACTGCATTGATTTGCATGAAAAAGCTTTCAGAAGATATGTGTGTACCATCTACTTGGGGAAGGAGTTGTATGTATATTATCAAGCTAATCAGTTAAGATCAAATTAACTAAAAATAGAATGTTCCAAAATTTCCCATAATTTTTCAAAAATATGTTATTTGATTAGAAGAGCTATGGGTGTTAAGCTTTCTCTATTGGTTGTGGTCCAATATGACTGAACCTGAAATGCAGAGGTTAAACTTGAGATGCTTCATCTGGCAGTACTGAAGTTTGGGGAACCTGTGTATGTCAGTGGTTTGCCTTTTAACTTCACTCTGTCTCCTTTGGCTTTGATTTTATGGGAAAAGCAAAGTATGAACATTTAGCGGAGCTTTACTATACTGTTACATTAATGTAGTATCCTTCTATATAGCCTTCTCTATTATATTCCGTGCAGTGGTGCTAAATCATGTTAACTGTTGTTTCAACAAGAAAAACAAGCCAAACCAAAGAGAAATGCACACACAAGCAAATGGGGAAAAAGAGAGTAAAACTAAAGCTGCCATCCACATTTCCCACCGTCCATCAACAGTGACATTCAAATTATTTTAAAAACTGAAAGCTCCTCTTCATATCTAATTTGTAAAATATTTAGGATGATGCAGTGTCAGCAGCCGTTTTTTGCTGATTGACTCCCATATTCTCTTTGCCACACTTCCTCAGGGAATTACTCAGCTGCCTTTTGCTGTCCTAGCACTGTGTTGAGCTCCATCTTCAGGAGACAGGATACAACTCAACCTTTAAATCTAATTTTTGACATGGAACTAGTTTATGCCGATATTGGTTAGAGACTTAACCAGTTCTTGAACTGGGACTCATGTGGCATATGTTTTTCACATGAAAAGGTGAATGTCGAGCAGGCAATTTTGACAATACTGACCTAGTGGGGACTCGACCTAAGAGAATGGAAGTAGTGAACTTATATTAGAGCCACAACTTGAAAATGTATGGGATTGATCATCTTTTTACTTCTGTTTTTTTTTTGTTTTGTTTTGTTTTTTTTTTTTATTTATTGGTTGATGGATTGAAAACCAGTGTAGAAAATACTGCTTGGGTAGACTACCCACAAATAGCTCCCTACCCATTTAGAAACAAAATTAGTTTGAAAGGGTAGCAGCAAACTCCATCACCTACAAAACAAATAAAATTGTCATGAATTAGTTAACTGAATATGCCTTGTGGGACTATGCAGATGTTTAAACAAAGCTGTGTGTTAAAGATCAGTACCATTTTCTTCTTCATAAGATAAAAAATATAATGTCTTGCTCATCAGATTCACAGTTTCCTGATAGGTCAGAGTGTTAATCTATTGGATCATTGCATCATGACTTTAAGACCCCTTAAGGAACTGGAAATGATTGTCCACATTCAAGACAGCTGAAAATGTTGAGCAGTGGAGAGGTGAAGGCAGAATTGGTGGAAATCACAAAGGCAGGATAATTTCTTCTATTACTCCAGTAACTGTCAACTTCCTTTTCAAATATTAAAGTATTGATAGAGAGGCTCTCTCTATCAGAAGATTAAAGCAGAAAGTTGCATTTTGAAACCTGAGTTGAAAGAACTTTAGCTGAGAGATGCCAATCATTCACCACAGTGATAATGTTGTGATCAGTACTCTATTTAAGCATTAAAATAAATAGTTTAATGAGTAGTTTAAGTAATACAGTTACTCAAGACACTTTATTTTCAGTGTCTTATTTCACTCAGGAAAACATTCGTGCTGCCAAAAATCAGAAAACTAACTAGGAACACAGTAAAGGGATTACGCATACATTGAGAGCTGACCTTTCATTAAGCCTCCAAATACTCAACCTTAATTAGTAAAGTCAATTTAGCAAGGTAGTTTTGAAAAGCAATTAGATACAGTATTTAAGCCCCAAAAGTCATGACTGAGCAGCAAAAGTTAAGGAAGGAAATAGTTCTGGTCCCCGTGGCAAGGGTAAAAAAGGCAGTATTTACAAAAGTCTTCAAAATAATGCCCATAGAGATCAACTAAAATATGGCAACTAGTGATAAAAACTGGAAGATATTTTTATTACGTATTTGATATATGGGTGTGCATGTGAAATTAATTACATTTATTCTTTAATGCCTGGGAAATCATCTTTATTACTTTTCTACACAGAGAAGATATGTTTAGGCCAAAGTTGAAAACTAGTGTGTGCAGCATAAAAGAGAGATGGCCTTATACAGTGTGCTGCACCAGGGCTGCAAGGACACTTTGAAACCTCTACCAATTCTGCATAAGGTCTGACCTTTCATTCAGGAGATGCTGGGTAAGTTTAATTTGACTTAAATCGTATTTGTCTGCGATCAAAAGCATTTCTGAGTACCTTTTGGCCTTTGGAATGCACTAGGAGGAGCACAGCTGTATTGAGCTGTTAATAACCATCCCTCATGGAGCTGAACCTCTTCCTACTAGCAGGAGCTTAAACAAAACAAATAGCAGATACGCAGTGTTACTAAAGACTGAAGGGGCAACGATGGAGAATACAGTCAGTGAGTGTAAGAAAGCTTGGTTTAAACTTATTTGCGATGCCCAGTCAGATACTCTCACATTAAGTCTTTTCTACACCGCATGGCCCCTGTTTGTCCTACGGACTGCACAACGCAGGGCAGCAGCGTGAAACAGTGGTCCTTAGCAGAAGACACCTATCAGGATTGTTAGAGATACACCAGGAGTTTCCGCCTTAGACAGGAAAGTCTTCCACTCTTGTAACATCAGTGTGCAGTACTTCCATTTTTCTTTCTCTCACCTTTTTCCACATTAAGCTACTAGGGCTCCTACAGTTCAAAATGCAATGCTATCCAGTGTTGAGTAGCACTGCTGTGCTACTCATGCCCTGTGCACACATCACATACGTTGCAGGTGTGTAATCCACAAACCTGCAGCTGTCCAGCAAGGCTTTCCACTTGCAAATTCCTAAGAAACTTTGTTTTCTTACCTTGTTGAAGTCTGTGGTTTGTTCCAAGGAGTATTTCAAGTGGTTCTAACCTGAAGAGTCTGTTATTCAGTGTACCTGTTATGACAGACATTCCCCTTTCTGTGGACTGGAGCTTCTTTTTATCTTTTCTGTAGATTACAACCCTGTCAGAACAACTAATGAACAAAAAGACATAAAACATTCCTTCAATTAGGGTGCAAGTAATTCCTGTAACCTGTGACTAAAGGGGGTCGCTGCATCTCACATAAGGAGGGATTACATGAGTAAAGATTAAAGTTCAAGTCCCTCTACATACATTAGAAAGAGAATAATTGGTAATCAACACAGAAATTAATCACTGGGTCAGTGGTATTTCTGGCATACCTTTATTACAGTATCTGCTTTTAGTAAAGCTGTATCAGAAGATAAAATTACATGTGGATGTAATTTTGTTTTCATTCCCTAGCACACAGATCTCTTTAGAGTTTTCACTGTGTTCCACAAAGGGCCAATAATGGCCCATTAGACAAACATTTTAAGCTCTCCCAACACTAGGTATCTCACCTATTGCCAACAAAGTTTTCCAGCAATAAGTTTTCCTAGCATAGATGAGCTTTAATGTGACCTGGAAATTTACTAGCTTTTTAATATTATCTTGTGGGGTTTTGCATCCTCAGAAAGTCTAGAGAGATTCTATTAAAAGAGATTCTCAAATTAGAAACATGAAGCCTACCCTTTACTGCCAAATGTACCCTCCTGCAGTTATTCAAATCAATGTAATGCTGTTTATTTTACTAGTTGTCCTTGCAGAGGTAGTTTACTAGTTGTCCCTAATTAAGTAGTTAGGGAAAACTGGGGATTTCTATGAATGAAATTTTAAGTAACAATAAAAAACTTACACATGCTTTAAAAAAAGGACAAAAACTTACATTATGAGTGTGTTCTTGTGGATGCCATCTTACAAAGGCATCTTACAAAGGAAGTGAAACTAAAGAACTGTAAAATAGAGAAGAAAATGCATGCAAATTTTAGATTTTCCTATGCTGACTTAATATACCAAAACACTTTCTTTGTCCTTATGTAAAGTCAGTTAGGTTTTTTGTTTGGTTGTGCTTTTTTGTGGGGTTTTTGTTTGTGTTTTTAAAGAACTTTCCTCCAACTCACGCTTCCATATTCTCTAAAATGTTTTCTCATATGTAATTCTCTACAGTAACTGTAGATGGTGATCATAATCAACTTCCAGATTTCAGAACATATGGTAACTGAAAGGACAGTGCAGTGGAAGTCAGACAGAGCTTTCAGAGTACGTTAGTGTCACACATTTCTGAATTCCAGCATTTTAAGACTACTGACAAGCACAGAAAGCAAAAGTTCCTTGAAAATGGAAGAGACAATGATATGAAAATGAAAAGACTGTCATTTAATTACCCTTAAAATACTGTATTTGCTTGAGAATGCAACACATGATCATACAGTGCATTACAGAAAACGATTCTAAATGGTCTCAATTAACATGACACAAAACAGAAAAATCCACACACTGAAATAATCTCAGTGTGATAGACATTTTTAAAAGTTGTGATACTTATTAAAAAGCTTTCAATAAAAAGTTTAAACACATTTAAGTTTCAAAGAATATTTTGTACATTTTGGAAAAATATAACATTTACATAACTGACACATAAGTTATATTCTTTGTAGTTTGTAAGTTTCCATTATCCGTATGTTCTCTCATACATTTTCTTTTAATACATCCTTTTCTCTAGATTGTAAATCTAATGCAAAAGTATCACCATTCTGAAGAAAAGCTTGTTTCTGCATTAGTTTCCTGAAAAGTCCATTTGGATTTGCAAGTAGGTCCTCATGTTTTCCACATTCAAGAATTTTACCCTGGCCAAGGACTGCAACAAAATCAGCATTCTGAATAGTAGACAGACGATGAGCAATAATTAGGACTGTCCTCCCTTCCATCAGCCGGTCCAGAGCTTCTTGCACTAGATACTCATTTTCAGCATCCAAAGCGCTAGTAAGAAATGGGAAGCATGAGGGGACAAAGGAGGATATTTTAAGACAGGTTAATTTTATATGTATTAGGCTTATTTTGCTAAAACTGCAAACCTTTGCTATTGTTGGTGAAGATGAGCCAATGGAACTGCATGAAAGTTTCGTGAACATGCTTAGTGCACACATCTAAGTTATAGGCACTACATATTCTCATATGCAAAAATATGCATGGAGAAATAACACTAAATTAATTCAGTGAAAAAAATTAAGTTATACTTAATATATTATAAGGTATAATCACCTCTGTTTTACACTAAGATCATAGTTTAAAGATACAAAAAAGATTTAAGTAGATGTTTCAAAATCAAGTTACATATTACAAATTTAACTTCATCAAAAATTACAGCAGTGTGCCAGCTACCCTTTGCATAAACAGCTTTTATCACAGGTCTCCTAACCAATTCACACATTCTATAAAGCACATTCTTTTTGTGGGTAGAGAAAAATAAGGGGCTAGGTAATTTGTGCAAGGGCATTCAAAGAAGGAAAGAGAGAACTCCCAAATCTAAGTTTTACAGACAGATAATTTCTAAGCTTCTATTTATTTTCTTTCTTACCTCGTTGCTTCATCTAACAGAAGAATCTTAGGATTCTGAAGAAGAAAGTAAAATTGGTTATAATAAGAATTAGACAAGATCTGCTTATTTATATCAATACAGAATAGGATTCATACAGCTTAAAACTCCAAGGAAGCGTACTTCATCAAAAGAACTGACTGTTGTTCAAAGTATAACTTTTAAGAAGCCTAAATCCTCGGGTGACAAAACAGAAATAACACTCTTCCATCTTCAAATTTTCCAAACTAAAGTAACAGAACGCTATTACCTGATAACTATTTAAAAGATACAAACTAAAGGTAGGTCATGATTTTTAATGCATACTTGGTAGCATTGTAGTCAAAAGTTCAATTTCCTATTTACTGCTCTTATGTGGATCTTTCACAGAGGCCCAGCTACTCTCTGCTTTCTGTCAGTCTGCTATATATAATGGTCTAGTAGCAAAAAATAACAACCTACCAACAAGCAGCATTTCACCCACAGATGAAATAAGTAGTATTTAAGAGCTAGCATTTAAGAACTCTTCCCAATTAAATAAAAAATAATAATAAAAAAAATTGCCAGCACTCATATCCCTAAGAAGCTGCTTCTGAACTACAGTACATAAACCAAACTTGATAAAGTTGAGACTAAAAGCTTTAGACTTCATCTGGAAGAGAAGGGACTCCACTGCACCCCCAATCACATATGTATCAACTACTCATTTATTTTTTACAACTTTTCCCCGCCCCCCCCCGCTCCCAATGAAGTCTCTACTCCCATGAACTGTACTTGACATGAAATGCAATTAGCTTTTCAGCATTCATGGTGAAAGAGAACTGCTATAATGAAAAATTCCCAGTAATCTAGCAGAACTGGGCATGCTAAAATGCTATAGAGACCCACGCAGCTTAACATGAATGTAAGCTGAATTCAGCAAGGGTCAAAAGCTTCCAGCCACCCTGTAAGGCCCCATGGCTGTCCCTGAACCAAATTCCCTGTCCTGATCCTCAGAAGCCTCCTCAAATTTGTGTAGCGCAGAGTCTGCCCTAAAGCCAGAACCATGCCAACCCTTGAAGAAAAAAATGACACAAAACTGTGACCAAAATAGTATCTTGTCCCATATCCAGACCAGCTCCCCTCAAAGCCAAGACAGGGCATCTGTAGTGCCAGTAACCTGCAACCCAGAAGACAGAGATCTAAACAGAGATTGAAATGTCATATACAAGTTTACTGGCACCACATTCTTAAAGTCTTCCTTCATCCTTGACCCGGTCTTCTGAAAGTGAGCCATTATAACATGATTTACCACCAGTTTTGGCAAGAACTATCAAAAAACATGACTAAAAGACAAGAAGAAGCACTTATGTAAGTAAACTGTCTTTAGTTAAACCACTTGGCCCTTTCAAGCTTCTTAATTAATATAAAAGATACAATTTTCTTTTTAAAAATACTTTTTAACCTCTCTCATTGAAACATATCCTCCTTTTTAACCCTTCCGACCTCCCCACAAAGTAGTTAAATAGCTATTTGAGTGCTGGCTTACCTTGAGCAGAGCTCGAGCAATCGCAATTCGTTGTTTCTGTCCACCTAGGGGAAAAAGCTCAGTAAATTGAAATAGGGAAAAAGATGTGAAGTAATTTTAACTGAATGCATGGGCTGAGCAGAATTAGGCATATGTACTTTAGAGGGGGAATGGAGATGAAGGAGGGCATTTTTTTAATACTTAAGGCAGGCTATGACTTGAAGAAAGAACTGGTAACAAAAAATAACAGAATTTTTACTTCACTCTATAGCATCAAGATTTTTAAGATAAGCAGTATAAAAAAGTACCTGAAAGCAAAATGCCTTTTTCTCCAACTACAGTGTCAAACCCTTTTGGAAAATCTCTGATAAAACTAGCAGCATTAGCTATTTCAGCAACTTTCTGAATCTCCTCTGCAGTCACAGTAGAAGGATCCTCTGCACCATAGGCAATATTTTCAGCAATAGAACAGGAGAACAGAATTGGTTCCTGAAAAATTCAAAAACATAACTAATATGGTAGATCTGTAATTACATGCATGTATTGTCTATATCCCAGATAACATAAATCCCTTATCACTTCTCAGACCCAACATTAATTGCTTTTATATCCATAAAAAAGAATACGTGAGCAAGAGTTAACTGAATTAAAAACAACAAAAAACCTCACCTAGCAACAAAAATGGGCAGTGAAAACCGATTACAAATAAGTTGCTTTTTTAACTGACAAAACATAACATAACTCTCAGTTCTTAATATTTGAGGAAAAGTTCAGAAAAAGCTATTCATTCAAACATCAGAAACTCTCCCTTTGTACTTTACTACATAGCATCATTTGCAAAAATGATGATTCTTCTCTTAATCTCTACACACTTTTCATGCCATTTTGTGCATTTAATTTACATTAAAGCTTGGAACAGAGAAGAGGACTAGAAGGTAGGACAAGTGATGTACAATGGGAAAATATCTGACACAAGCTGTCTGCTCTGTTTATAAAATAAAGAGACATGCTATAAGATGAATACCAGTATAAATCTCCTACTGGTAACTCGAGAGGAATACCTACATTCTAAAAGAAAAATGCTAATGTGTTCATATGAAAATCATTTTTGCGCAAAAGCTTCTGTTGGCATTATTACAAAAAATAGTTGTTTTGAAATGCAACATATGCCAAGTTATCTTTATGCTTTTAACCAAAACATCAACCTAACAGTTAATTACACTGTGAAGCATCTAGGGGGATGAGGGAATGAACACACATATTTTACTTGGTCAGTCTATTTTTAGGAGACCATTAAGCATTTGTCTGCACTTCCAGAGTTTGGGGGTCGCTAGGGAGGGGACACTACAACAGCAAGCACCAAAACTACTGTACTTTCATGCTTTCCTAGTGGAACTGTGTTTGCCTGGAAACAACACAGAGCACATAAGGTCAGTTTTCAAATGGTTGTGTAAAATATGATTATGTAACTGCCGTTAATACAAAATGTGATTAACTATAAAGCTTTCTATTACCTTCTTCCAACAAATCATAGGAAACATCAAGATAGTAACACCTATGCAATTTGCAACAATGTACTTTCCGGTCTCCACATGCACACTTTTCTTCTACCTTCACAATCTGAATCTCTATCAATATGTAAAAAAAGATTACAGAATAATGGGATGGGCTCGGAATACTTAATTTTGGAACAAAGCATGCACAACAGTAGTTACGGTGAGATGTAGGGATTTCACTAAGAAGCAAAATGATATAGTTTTAAAAAGAAGCAAAGTGAGGCACAGCTAGTTGATCACACAAAATTACTTCATTCACTTAGAATTTTTTTTTTTCCCTTACCTGACTCACTGTTCCAATCTTTGTCCTGAACCACAGTGGATTTAACTGACGGATATCAAAGCCATCAACAGTGATAGTACCTTAATTTAAGAAACAGTAAAGTCACGTGTGTTTGACAAGTACTGAAGAGAGGCAGAAAGAACAGCTGAGAACAACGACCCCTGAGGAATCCCATACTGGTGGATCAGAAAGGCAGAAGCTATGCAGGCACCACAAGGTAGCCACATGCCCCAGAGGCAAGCGTGGTGCATCAGTGGAACAGGAACCCCAACTGTTTATAAGGGGTATCTGAGATGCAAAGCATCAGTTGTTATGAATGACAGCAACACGCAAAGCATACCTGAGATAGGATCGTACAGCCTCAGTAGAAGGGATACAATAGTTGATTTCCCTGTACCACTTGGGCCAACCAGAGCCATAACAGAGCCAGCTGGAATGGAAAGGCTAAAATCTTTGAAAATTGATGTTTCTGGACGTGTTGGATATGCAAACTCGACATCCCTGAATTCCAAAGCACCTCTGAATGTGTCTTTGCCTAATGTGATTCCCTCTGTATGACAAAGAAAAAATACAGAAACGTGAACAGAAACAAAAATCAGCTCAGCCCTCCTAGAACTTGCTTTACAGACACCCAATAGAAACATCTATCTCCATGTTAGATCTAGGGATAGGGGCAAGCCACAATTCAGGACCACAGGGATTATATTTCAGCCATGACTGAACCACTGTGCTTTGCCACTTGTCCTGAACGCAACTTCAGGTTGCTCACCAGCAGTGAACCCGTAGGCAAGAGGGTAACTGTACAGCAAGAGGGAGAATTTGCATCTTGCTAATACCTAACAATTCACAATGCTCATTTCTAGTAGAGTTATCTGAATTTTTTAACACATTATAAACAACTTAAGTTTTGTCCACTAGGAGCAATGAAATAAAATGGAGTTGTTGAAGGCCAAAGTCCTGTTGCCATAGAACACATGCAAAAAGATAAACATTGCAAATCACGTACTGCCCTTTCACCGAGCCACAAGTCACCTGAAACACTCTCCGCTTTGGATAAGAGCCCTTCCCTCTCCACTGTCTGTTAACTGGGTAGCTTTTAAGCAAAAACTGTCACTGCAATAAAGTTGCTGCTAGGTTTGTTGCATTAATGGCTATTTTTTAGATTATTTTTTTTTAAAGTGGAAAGTATATTTAATAAATTCAAGACAACTGTGTATTCAACGACCAATCAGAAGCATAACTCTTAAGCAACAATTCACTGAAATTAAAATTTTAGTTTGTGAAATACCATAATGAACCATCATGAAAGAACGACTGCTGAAGTTAAATAAAACCAGCTCCTTTCTGTAGCACGACATTTGATTTAAACAATTATCTTCAGAGAATATCAGCGCTAGAAAAAGTTTATAAATAGGTAAGACAAACACAGTTTCTTCAAGCCCTGTTCAACCTCAGCGATGCACATCCATACAAAGCAAACTAATTGGACAGTGGTGCCGCATTCCCAAGGGACAAAGTCTCACTGATGAAGTTCCTACCAGTTCTGTGAAAACTGGCAGCACCAGAGCAACACCCAAGTAGTGTTTGTTCATGCTAAAGAGATGCAAGTCAAACCCCTTAATTCTTTTCTGATGCAGCACACAAGGAACCCCCAAACAGCCACAGTACACGGTAGCACATGCCCAAGTTTGGTTAAACAGTAACTGTGGATGGGAAACAGACCCTCACGAGTAGCAATCAAGATTTCACTAGTCCTGCTGTCCCCAGAGCAAGTAATTTATTTTGCTTTTCTTTTCCCCATATTCCCTCCTCTTCTCCAGGCGTTCAGTTTAATGGTAGTAGCATAGAAATGGCAAAGGCAAGAGCACACAATTTCAGACTCCTTCTCTGACTTCAATCCGTGGACATATACATTGTAACTTATTTGTTTGGTAAAACCACAAGGGTCTGTAAACCTCCCTTTGGGAATATAAATGTATTTGCTAAATTCTGTGGTAACAGCATAATCCTTACTATTCCCAAGTAACAAGTAATCTCTTATCTTTATTCTCAGTTCAAGTTATTGCACGGTCTATTCCATGGCCTGAAACACTGAAATCTACTGCAATACAGGAAGTATGGTACCACAAGTCCTTCCTCTGTACATTACTGTAAAAATATCTAAAAGCTATATATAGGATTGTACCTGTTTCTTATTTGGATTCTAGATACAGGGAAAAAAGCCATTATAATTTGTTCCAGAGGTATTTGTTATCACCAACAGCTGAAGTTCTGTGAAAATAAAACCTAACTAGCCAAGCGAGTAGATGTTTCAGGTGTGTTTGGGCAGTAAAGAAATAATCTCTTGGCTTTATTGTCTGATGAGACAGAATCAATGATAACTGCGTTTTGAGACAAAGGTTTATATCCTTTCCTATATATTTAGTTTATATTGAAAGGAAATGTAAAAGAAGATTTCTCTAAACCTATGCTACGTGGGCATCTGAAACGTTGATCAATTTGTGTTCCATCTATAAAATAAAGATTGTTTTCTGGATGTCACTATTGATGTGATTAAACAATTCAATACCTTCAGGGGCAAAGACAACTTCTGACCCAATACTACTGCTTATTCTGCCCTGGTACCACTGTAAAGATGAAGAGCACTGAAATAATCCAGATTATAAAAAAAAAAAAAAAAAAAAGAATCCCATCCAAATGATGATGAAATCAACAGTTGCACTAGGTATATGAAGGGCACAGCAAACTTCAGTGCGGCACTGGATGTCATGGCAGGAAGTTTAAGCCAGCTTCACTGCTACAAACCAGAGCGTGTAGTTATTCCTTCATCAGCCAGATAGTGGTTTCCTTTTGGTAATATTACTTTTCACTGACTAAATAAAGTCTATACACATTGAAAAGCATCCTACAGCCAGGTTTGCAGCTGTGAAGAGATAAGAGACAGAGGTCAGAATGTGACTTGGTGTCTATCAGATTAAGAATTTAACGAATTCCAGAACAGGGAGACAGAAGCAAAACAGAAATCTGAAGCACAGCATTTCAAAAGAACCCCTCTGTGGTAATTAACTCAAAACATAAAACTCTATCTGCGCTGCTGCAGCAAAGAAAGCCAACAGGATGCTGGGTTGCATCAAGAAGAGCATCACCAGCAGGGATAAAGAAGTCATTACCCCACTCTACTCAGCACCCATAAGGCCACACCTGGAATACTGTGTTCCATTTTGGTCCCCACTATGCAAAGACAATGTGGACAGGCTGGAGAGGGTCCAGAGAAGGTTCGGCCACAAAGATGATCAAAGGATTGGGAAGCCTGCTGTATGAGGAAAGGCTCAGATCTGGGTTTGTTCAGCATGAAGAAAATGCTTAGGGGGGACCTTATCACCATGTTCCTGTATTTAAAGGGTAGCCACAAGGAAGATGGAGACTCCCTTTTTACAAGGAGTCACATGGAAAAGACATGGGATAATGGGTACAAGTTAGTTCTGGGGAGATTCTGATTGGACCCAAGAGGAAAATTTTTCACAATGAGAACAATCAGCCATTGGAATAATCTCCCCAGGGAAGTGGTGGATTCCCCAACATTGGATACTTCTAAGTTGCTGGGCCATCTTGTCTAGACCGTGCTTTTGCCAAGAAAGGTTGGACCAGAGGATCCTTAAAGTCCCTTCCAACCTGGTGCTCTATGATTTCCTAAAGCCAGAGCTCACTCAAAGCCCTTTTTAGGTCTGTTGGATCTTCTTTTCAGACTCTTCCTCTTAGAGCAGCCCTTAAAAAGTTTACAAACTAGAGGACCATAAACTCAGAGAGAATCTAGTGTTAACAGCTCACCTGGACTCTGCTATATTGCTTTTCTTAACAACACACAGAGCTGGTGAACACTCATGTATGAGTTTTGCTTAGTGGGATGCAGCTGATAAAATTCAGCAATTCGCACAGAAAGTATCTTTTATGAGCAGCTCATTGAATTACTTTGTTGGATACAGGCAAATGCTGTTTATACAAAATATACTCACTACTGGAGGGCATTGTCTAGCTTCCAAATGATAAAGCTGGAAACAAGGTGTTGCTGGAAATACATTTTTTTTACTATATTTAAATATTATTAAATATTTAAAAATATTTTATTATACTATTTAAACAATTAAATATTTAAAACACAGTGGCTAATATTTATTGTTTCTATTTGTTTATATGTTACTATATTTAATTACTTATTTAAGAGGTAGATTTATAGATGAAGTTTGCGTATCTTCTTTTTGGGATTTGACTACTACATCAGCAAACTCACATAAAAATCTAACACCTCTCAAAGGTACTCTTCTATAAATGTACCGATAAAAACAGATGTGATTTCAGACTCACAAACCTATCTTTAGGCCTAAAGCAGCCCATGAAAAAAATTCAGATGTGAACGACTGATTTGACACAAAAATTGCTTTGTTTCTCCTCGCACTTCCAACAATGTCAAACTTGATTCATCAGGGATACTACCTCCCCTTCAAAACTTCCTTGTTTGTATCCTTGGAACACTGCAGCTATACGAAAAATATTATCACCATGTTACCAGGTCCAACACTACACATGCCCAGCTAGGCAACCGCGTGGTATGGCAGGCTGCTCATGCAGCAAAATGCCCACAGCTCCCCTACCCATAGGTGAGTCAGGTAAGCCGTGTGCTAGAGTGGCTCCTTGCCCCTCAAAGACGGGAGAAATGTGGGCAGCACTACTGAGAAGGGTGCAAATCATTTCAAAAGCAACACCTGCTGTACCTGCACATCCACACCCTCCCATGAAGCAGGGCTCCCCAGCTCAGCTCCATCCCTTCCTCGCTTTCATTCCCCAGTCATGCCTCAGTCCCCCACTCCAAAATTCAGTCTGGCATGTGGTGCTGAAAGGCCTCAAACTGTCTGTGCCTGCAAATTCAGCTTCAAATCAACATGTCTCACCAAGGAACCGTTTTCACGAGGTTAGTATGAACCCTTTAAACCTGAGACAGTCTTAATGAAAAACACCTGGTTTTGAAAGCGTCTCTTTTCAGACTGCTAATCTCTTAGCCAGGAGAGATGAGCATGGTAAACCTTTTAGTGGAAATACGAGATACAGCCATCTCAGAGCTCCTCCCACCCCTCCTTTTCCTTTCTTCCAACTCTTTTCACTCTAAAGCTGATCCAAGAGAAAGTGGGGATGACATCAAAGAAATATTTCAAGAAGCTAGAAATGAGCATGTCCTCAGTCACCTAACTTTCAAAGTAATATATTTAAAAGCATATTCTGAATTAAAGGAAAAACCCACCAAGTTTTCAGCTTCTAATATTTCTGATTAAAGGAAAATTTCATCATTTGTTTCAGTTAGGAAAAGTCAGAAGAATTACCTAGTTTATTTCAGAAGAATGTAAGTCAGTACTACCTTTAAGTATTGCAAACATCCTTCTGAAGTACTGGTGACCAATAAGAGAAAAATCAACCTAGGAACAGTAACAAACCAAGGACTCACCATTAAATGGAAGTTGGGGCTTCCTTTCAATAAGTTCCCACAGACGTCCACCAGCACCTAGTCCTTTCATTAGCTCCGAATAAAAGGAACTCAGACCTAATCAAAAGGTAAAACAGTATTATGCACCCATACGGAATGGAAGACATAGGAGACATACAATTTGCATTATACTTTTCATCACCAGCATTGAAGAATCAGATGCGTAGGGAACCTTTTATTCCAACACGCTATCAAACATGCTGATTTAAACCCTACCTAGTCTCACTTGAGAGCTACCAATAACCCTTACTCACCATTCTTATCAGTAAAATAAATCAGTCTGAAATAAAAGTAAGAAAACATTAATACACTTAAGCTTGCATATACTCAAAAGCAAAGCAACTCTTTTTCAGGCGGCCGGCTGGGTGGGGTGGCCCCACAAAAACACGGGGCGCCTCGCCCGGGTCGGCTTGAAGAAGAGGGGGTGCGCTCGGTCCTTCGGGATGCTGCCGGAGGGATTCACAAGGCTGGATTTGGGAAGCAGTTTTCGCTGAATTCATGCAGTTCTGGCGCTCAGTAGGGCAGAGACAGGTGGCTGGATGCACTCAGGGAACAGCGGCTGAAAGACCCTTGCAAACCGCTGCCTGGCACGTCGGGAAGGACGCGCATTCCACCGACGTTGTGGCCCGATCTTTAAAATTGCCTGTGTTGCGTAACCTGTGTTTGTCCCAAGATTTCTAATAAAAATAAACACCAAGAAAACATTCTTTGCCAACATTGGTATGCTTCACACCTGTGGTAAATGAAAATCATGCACTACAACTATTCCAAGGTATAGAATTAGATTTTAGTCTTAAAGGGGAACTACATTTTCTCACTGAAAGAAAAAACTGCATTGATTTGCATGAAAAAGCTTTCAGAAGATATGTGTGTACCATCTACTTGGGGAAGGAGTTGTATGTATATTATCAAGCTAATCAGTTAAGATCAAATTAACTAAAAATAGAATGTTCCAAAATTTCCCATAATTTTTCAAAAATATGTTATTTGATTAGAAGAGCTATGGGTGTTAAGCTTTCTCTATTGGTTGTGGTCCAATATGACTGAACCTGAAATGCAGAGGTTAAACTTGAGATGCTTCATCTGGCAGTACTGAAGTTTGGGGAACCTGTGTATGTCAGTGGTTTGCCTTTTAACTTCACTCTGTCTCCTTTGGCTTTGATTTTATGGGAAAAGCAAAGTATGAACATTTAGCGGAGCTTTACTATACTGTTACATTAATGTAGTATCCTTCTATATAGCCTTCTCTATTATATTCCGTGCAGTGGTGCTAAATCATGTTAACTGTTGTTTCAACAAGAAAAACAAGCCAAACCAAAGAGAAATGCACACACAAGCAAATGGGGAAAAAGAGAGTAAAACTAAAGCTGCCATCCACATTTCCCACCGTCCATCAACAGTGACATTCAAATTATTTTAAAAACTGAAAGCTCCTCTTCATATCTAATTTGTAAAATATTTAGGATGATGCAGTGTCAGCAGCCGTTTTTTGCTGATTGACTCCCATATTCTCTTTGCCACACTTCCTCAGGGAATTACTCAGCTGCCTTTTGCTGTCCTAGCACTGTGTTGAGCTCCATCTTCAGGAGACAGGATACAACTCAACCTTTAAATCTAATTTTTGACATGGAACTAGTTTATGCCGATATTGGTTAGAGACTTAACCAGTTCTTGAACTGGGACTCATGTGGCATATGTTTTTCACATGAAAAGGTGAATGTCGAGCAGGCAATTTTGACAATACTGACCTAGTGGGGACTCGACCTAAGAGAATGGAAGTAGTGAACTTATATTAGAGCCACAACTTGAAAATGTATGGGATTGATCATCTTTTTACTTCTGTTTTTTTTTTGTTTTGTTTTGTTTTTTTTTTTATTTATTGGTTGATGGATTGAAAACCAGTGTAGAAAATACTGCTTGGGTAGACTACCCACAAATAGCTCCCTACCCATTTAGAAACAAAATTAGTTTGAAAGGGTAGCAGCAAACTCCATCACCTACAAAACAAATAAAATTGTCATGAATTAGTTAACTGAATATGCCTTGTGGGACTATGCAGATGTTTAAACAAAGCTGTGTGTTAAAGATCAGTACCATTTTCTTCTTCATAAGATAAAAAATATAATGTCTTGCTCATCAGATTCACAGTTTCCTGATAGGTCAGAGTGTTAATCTATTGGATCATTGCATCATGACTTTAAGACCCCTTAAGGAACTGGAAATGATTGTCCACATTCAAGACAGCTGAAAATGTTGAGCAGTGGAGAGGTGAAGGCAGAATTGGTGGAAATCACAAAGGCAGGATAATTTCTTCTATTACTCCAGTAACTGTCAACTTCCTTTTCAAATATTAAAGTATTGATAGAGAGGCTCTCTCTATCAGAAGATTAAAGCAGAAAGTTGCATTTTGAAACCTGAGTTGAAAGAACTTTAGCTGAGAGATGCCAATCATTCACCACAGTGATAATGTTGTGATCAGTACTCTATTTAAGCATTAAAATAAATAGTTTAATGAGTAGTTTAAGTAATACAGTTACTCAAGACACTTTATTTTCAGTGTCTTATTTCACTCAGGAAAACATTCGTGCTGCCAAAAATCAGAAAACTAACTAGGAACACAGTAAAGGGATTACGCATACATTGAGAGCTGACCTTTCATTAAGCCTCCAAATACTCAACCTTAATTAGTAAAGTCAATTTAGCAAGGTAGTTTTGAAAAGCAATTAGATACAGTATTTAAGCCCCAAAAGTCATGACTGAGCAGCAAAAGTTAAGGAAGGAAATAGTTCTGGTCCCCGTGGCAAGGGTAAAAAAGGCAGTATTTACAAAAGTCTTCAAAATAATGCCCATAGAGATCAACTAAAATATGGCAACTAGTGATAAAAACTGGAAGATATTTTTATTACGTATTTGATATATGGGTGTGCATGTGAAATTAATTACATTTATTCTTTAATGCCTGGGAAATCATCTTTATTACTTTTCTACACAGAGAAGATATGTTTAGGCCAAAGTTGAAAACTAGTGTGTGCAGCATAAAAGAGAGATGGCCTTATACAGTGTGCTGCACCAGGGCTGCAAGGACACTTTGAAACCTCTACCAATTCTGCATAAGGTCTGACCTTTCATTCAGGAGATGCTGGGTAAGTTTAATTTGACTTAAATCGTATTTGTCTGCGATCAAAAGCATTTCTGAGTACCTTTTGGCCTTTGGAATGCACTAGGAGGAGCACAGCTGTATTGAGCTGTTAATAACCATCCCTCATGGAGCTGAACCTCTTCCTACTAGCAGGAGCTTAAACAAAACAAATAGCAGATACGCAGTGTTACTAAAGACTGAAGGGGCAACGATGGAGAATACAGTCAGTGAGTGTAAGAAAGCTTGGTTTAAACTTATTTGCGATGCCCAGTCAGATACTCTCACATTAAGTCTTTTCTACACCGCATGGCCCCTGTTTGTCCTACGGACTGCACAACGCAGGGCAGCAGCGTGAAACAGTGGTCCTTAGCAGAAGACACCTATCAGGATTGTTAGAGATACACCAGGAGTTTCCGCCTTAGACAGGAAAGTCTTCCACTCTTGTAACATCAGTGTGCAGTACTTCCATTTTTCTTTCTCTCACCTTTTTCCACATTAAGCTACTAGGGCTCCTACAGTTCAAAATGCAATGCTATCCAGTGTTGAGTAGCACTGCTGTGCTACTCATGCCCTGTGCACACATCACATACGTTGCAGGTGTGTAATCCACAAACCTGCAGCTGTCCAGCAAGGCTTTCCACTTGCAAATTCCTAAGAAACTTTGTTTTCTTACCTTGTTGAAGTCTGTGGTTTGTTCCAAGGAGTATTTCAAGTGGTTCTAACCTGAAGAGTCTGTTATTCAGTGTACCTGTTATGACAGACATTCCCCTTTCTGTGGACTGGAGCTTCTTTTTATCTTTTCTGTAGATTACAACCCTGTCAGAACAACTAATGAACAAAAAGACATAAAACATTCCTTCAATTAGGGTGCAAGTAATTCCTGTAACCTGTGACTAAAGGGGGTCGCTGCATCTCACATAAGGAGGGATTACATGAGTAAAGATTAAAGTTCAAGTCCCTCTACATACATTAGAAAGAGAATAATTGGTAATCAACACAGAAATTAATCACTGGGTCAGTGGTATTTCTGGCATACCTTTATTACAGTATCTGCTTTTAGTAAAGCTGTATCAGAAGATAAAATTACATGTGGATGTAATTTTGTTTTCATTCCCTAGCACACAGATCTCTTTAGAGTTTTCACTGTGTTCCACAAAGGGCCAATAATGGCCCATTAGACAAACATTTTAAGCTCTCCCAACACTAGGTATCTCACCTATTGCCAACAAAGTTTTCCAGCAATAAGTTTTCCTAGCATAGATGAGCTTTAATGTGACCTGGAAATTTACTAGCTTTTTAATATTATCTTGTGGGGTTTTGCATCCTCAGAAAGTCTAGAGAGATTCTATTAAAAGAGATTCTCAAATTAGAAACATGAAGCCTACCCTTTACTGCCAAATGTACCCTCCTGCAGTTATTCAAATCAATGTAATGCTGTTTATTTTACTAGTTGTCCTTGCAGAGGTAGTTTACTAGTTGTCCCTAATTAAGTAGTTAGGGAAAACTGGGGATTTCTATGAATGAAATTTTAAGTAACAATAAAAAACTTACACATGCTTTAAAAAAAGGACAAAAACTTACATTATGAGTGTGTTCTTGTGGATGCCATCTTACAAAGGCATCTTACAAAGGAAGTGAAACTAAAGAACTGTAAAATAGAGAAGAAAATGCATGCAAATTTTAGATTTTCCTATGCTGACTTAATATACCAAAACACTTTCTTTGTCCTTATGTAAAGTCAGTTAGGTTTTTTGTTTGGTTGTGCTTTTTTGTGGGGTTTTTGTTTGTGTTTTTAAAGAACTTTCCTCCAACTCACGCTTCCATATTCTCTAAAATGTTTTCTCATATGTAATTCTCTACAGTAACTGTAGATGGTGATCATAATCAACTTCCAGATTTCAGAACATATGGTAACTGAAAGGACAGTGCAGTGGAAGTCAGACAGAGCTTTCAGAGTACGTTAGTGTCACACATTTCTGAATTCCAGCATTTTAAGACTACTGACAAGCACAGAAAGCAAAAGTTCCTTGAAAATGGAAGAGACAATGATATGAAAATGAAAAGACTGTCATTTAATTACCCTTAAAATACTGTATTTGCTTGAGAATGCAACACATGATCATACAGTGCATTACAGAAAACGATTCTAAATGGTCTCAATTAACATGACACAAAACAGAAAAATCCACACACTGAAATAATCTCAGTGTGATAGACATTTTTAAAAGTTGTGATACTTATTAAAAAGCTTTCAATAAAAAGTTTAAACACATTTAAGTTTCAAAGAATATTTTGTACATTTTGGAAAAATATAACATTTACATAACTGACACATAAGTTATATTCTTTGTAGTTTGTAAGTTTCCATTATCCGTATGTTCTCTCATACATTTTCTTTTAATACATCCTTTTCTCTAGATTGTAAATCTAATGCAAAAGTATCACCATTCTGAAGAAAAGCTTGTTTCTGCATTAGTTTCCTGAAAAGTCCATTTGGATTTGCAAGTAGGTCCTCATGTTTTCCACATTCAAGAATTTTACCCTGGCCAAGGACTGCAACAAAATCAGCATTCTGAATAGTAGACAGACGATGAGCAATAATTAGGACTGTCCTCCCTTCCATCAGCCGGTCCAGAGCTTCTTGCACTAGATACTCATTTTCAGCATCCAAAGCGCTAGTAAGAAATGGGAAGCATGAGGGGACAAAGGAGGATATTTTAAGACAGGTTAATTTTATATGTATTAGGCTTATTTTGCTAAAACTGCAAACCTTTGCTATTGTTGGTGAAGATGAGCCAATGGAACTGCATGAAAGTTTCGTGAACATGCTTAGTGCACACATCTAAGTTATAGGCACTACATATTCTCATATGCAAAAATATGCATGGAGAAATAACACTAAATTAATTCAGTGAAAAAAATTAAGTTATACTTAATATATTATAAGGTATAATCACCTCTGTTTTACACTAAGATCATAGTTTAAAGATACAAAAAAGATTTAAGTAGATGTTTCAAAATCAAGTTACATATTACAAATTTAACTTCATCAAAAATTACAGCAGTGTGCCAGCTACCCTTTGCATAAACAGCTTTTATCACAGGTCTCCTAACCAATTCACACATTCTATAAAGCACATTCTTTTTGTGGGTAGAGAAAAATAAGGGGCTAGGTAATTTGTGCAAGGGCATTCAAAGAAGGAAAGAGAGAACTCCCAAATCTAAGTTTTACAGACAGATAATTTCTAAGCTTCTATTTATTTTCTTTCTTACCTCGTTGCTTCATCTAACAGAAGAATCTTAGGATTCTGAAGAAGAAAGTAAAATTGGTTATAATAAGAATTAGACAAGATCTGCTTATTTATATCAATACAGAATAGGATTCATACAGCTTAAAACTCCAAGGAAGCGTACTTCATCAAAAGAACTGACTGTTGTTCAAAGTATAACTTTTAAGAAGCCTAAATCCTCGGGTGACAAAACAGAAATAACACTCTTCCATCTTCAAATTTTCCAAACTAAAGTAACAGAACGCTATTACCTGATAACTATTTAAAAGATACAAACTAAAGGTAGGTCATGATTTTTAATGCATACTTGGTAGCATTGTAGTCAAAAGTTCAATTTCCTATTTACTGCTCTTATGTGGATCTTTCACAGAGGCCCAGCTACTCTCTGCTTTCTGTCAGTCTGCTATATATAATGGTCTAGTAGCAAAAAATAACAACCTACCAACAAGCAGCATTTCACCCACAGATGAAATAAGTAGTATTTAAGAGCTAGCATTTAAGAACTCTTCCCAATTAAATAAAAAATAATAATAAAAAAAATTGCCAGCACTCATATCCCTAAGAAGCTGCTTCTGAACTACAGTACATAAACCAAACTTGATAAAGTTGAGACTAAAAGCTTTAGACTTCATCTGGAAGAGAAGGGACTCCACTGCACCCCCAATCACATATGTATCAACTACTCATTTATTTTTTACAACTTTTCCCCGCCCCCCCCCGCTCCCAATGAAGTCTCTACTCCCATGAACTGTACTTGACATGAAATGCAATTAGCTTTTCAGCATTCATGGTGAAAGAGAACTGCTATAATGAAAAATTCCCAGTAATCTAGCAGAACTGGGCATGCTAAAATGCTATAGAGACCCACGCAGCTTAACATGAATGTAAGCTGAATTCAGCAAGGGTCAAAAGCTTCCAGCCACCCTGTAAGGCCCCATGGCTGTCCCTGAACCAAATTCCCTGTCCTGATCCTCAGAAGCCTCCTCAAATTTGTGTAGCGCAGAGTCTGCCCTAAAGCCAGAACCATGCCAACCCTTGAAGAAAAAAATGACACAAAACTGTGACCAAAATAGTATCTTGTCCCATATCCAGACCAGCTCCCCTCAAAGCCAAGACAGGGCATCTGTAGTGCCAGTAACCTGCAACCCAGAAGACAGAGATCTAAACAGAGATTGAAATGTCATATACAAGTTTACTGGCACCACATTCTTAAAGTCTTCCTTCATCCTTGACCCGGTCTTCTGAAAGTGAGCCATTATAACATGATTTACCACCAGTTTTGGCAAGAACTATCAAAAAACATGACTAAAAGACAAGAAGAAGCACTTATGTAAGTAAACTGTCTTTAGTTAAACCACTTGGCCCTTTCAAGCTTCTTAATTAATATAAAAGATACAATTTTCTTTTTAAAAATACTTTTTAACCTCTCTCATTGAAACATATCCTCCTTTTTAACCCTTCCGACCTCCCCACAAAGTAGTTAAATAGCTATTTGAGTGCTGGCTTACCTTGAGCAGAGCTCGAGCAATCGCAATTCGTTGTTTCTGTCCACCTAGGGGAAAAAGCTCAGTAAATTGAAATAGGGAAAAAGATGTGAAGTAATTTTAACTGAATGCATGGGCTGAGCAGAATTAGGCATATGTACTTTAGAGGGGGAATGGAGATGAAGGAGGGCATTTTTTTAATACTTAAGGCAGGCTATGACTTGAAGAAAGAACTGGTAACAAAAAATAACAGAATTTTTACTTCACTCTATAGCATCAAGATTTTTAAGATAAGCAGTATAAAAAAGTACCTGAAAGCAAAATGCCTTTTTCTCCAACTACAGTGTCAAACCCTTTTGGAAAATCTCTGATAAAACTAGCAGCATTAGCTATTTCAGCAACTTTCTGAATCTCCTCTGCAGTCACAGTAGAAGGATCCTCTGCACCATAGGCAATATTTTCAGCAATAGAACAGGAGAACAGAATTGGTTCCTGAAAAATTCAAAAACATAACTAATATGGTAGATCTGTAATTACATGCATGTATTGTCTATATCCCAGATAACATAAATCCCTTATCACTTCTCAGACCCAACATTAATTGCTTTTATATCCATAAAAAAGAATACGTGAGCAAGAGTTAACTGAATTAAAAACAACAAAAAACCTCACCTAGCAACAAAAATGGGCAGTGAAAACCGATTACAAATAAGTTGCTTTTTTAACTGACAAAACATAACATAACTCTCAGTTCTTAATATTTGAGGAAAAGTTCAGAAAAAGCTATTCATTCAAACATCAGAAACTCTCCCTTTGTACTTTACTACATAGCATCATTTGCAAAAATGATGATTCTTCTCTTAATCTCTACACACTTTTCATGCCATTTTGTGCATTTAATTTACATTAAAGCTTGGAACAGAGAAGAGGACTAGAAGGTAGGACAAGTGATGTACAATGGGAAAATATCTGACACAAGCTGTCTGCTCTGTTTATAAAATAAAGAGACATGCTATAAGATGAATACCAGTATAAATCTCCTACTGGTAACTCGAGAGGAATACCTACATTCTAAAAGAAAAATGCTAATGTGTTCATATGAAAATCATTTTTGCGCAAAAGCTTCTGTTGGCATTATTACAAAAAATAGTTGTTTTGAAATGCAACATATGCCAAGTTATCTTTATGCTTTTAACCAAAACATCAACCTAACAGTTAATTACACTGTGAAGCATCTAGGGGGATGAGGGAATGAACACACATATTTTACTTGGTCAGTCTATTTTTAGGAGACCATTAAGCATTTGTCTGCACTTCCAGAGTTTGGGGGTCGCTAGGGAGGGGACACTACAACAGCAAGCACCAAAACTACTGTACTTTCATGCTTTCCTAGTGGAACTGTGTTTGCCTGGAAACAACACAGAGCACATAAGGTCAGTTTTCAAATGGTTGTGTAAAATATGATTATGTAACTGCCGTTAATACAAAATGTGATTAACTATAAAGCTTTCTATTACCTTCTTCCAACAAATCATAGGAAACATCAAGATAGTAACACCTATGCAATTTGCAACAATGTACTTTCCGGTCTCCACATGCACACTTTTCTTCTACCTTCACAATCTGAATCTCTATCAATATGTAAAAAAAGATTACAGAATAATGGGATGGGCTCGGAATACTTAATTTTGGAACAAAGCATGCACAACAGTAGTTACGGTGAGATGTAGGGATTTCACTAAGAAGCAAAATGATATAGTTTTAAAAAGAAGCAAAGTGAGGCACAGCTAGTTGATCACACAAAATTACTTCATTCACTTAGAATTTTTTTTTTTCCCTTACCTGACTCACTGTTCCAATCTTTGTCCTGAACCACAGTGGATTTAACTGACGGATATCAAAGCCATCAACAGTGATAGTACCTTAATTTAAGAAACAGTAAAGTCACGTGTGTTTGACAAGTACTGAAGAGAGGCAGAAAGAACAGCTGAGAACAACGACCCCTGAGGAATCCCATACTGGTGGATCAGAAAGGCAGAAGCTATGCAGGCACCACAAGGTAGCCACATGCCCCAGAGGCAAGCGTGGTGCATCAGTGGAACAGGAACCCCAACTGTTTATAAGGGGTATCTGAGATGCAAAGCATCAGTTGTTATGAATGACAGCAACACGCAAAGCATACCTGAGATAGGATCGTACAGCCTCAGTAGAAGGGATACAATAGTTGATTTCCCTGTACCACTTGGGCCAACCAGAGCCATAACAGAGCCAGCTGGAATGGAAAGGCTAAAATCTTTGAAAATTGATGTTTCTGGACGTGTTGGATATGCAAACTCGACATCCCTGAATTCCAAAGCACCTCTGAATGTGTCTTTGCCTAATGTGATTCCCTCTGTATGACAAAGAAAAAATACAGAAACGTGAACAGAAACAAAAATCAGCTCAGCCCTCCTAGAACTTGCTTTACAGACACCCAATAGAAACATCTATCTCCATGTTAGATCTAGGGATAGGGGCAAGCCACAATTCAGGACCACAGGGATTATATTTCAGCCATGACTGAACCACTGTGCTTTGCCACTTGTCCTGAACGCAACTTCAGGTTGCTCACCAGCAGTGAACCCGTAGGCAAGAGGGTAACTGTACAGCAAGAGGGAGAATTTGCATCTTGCTAATACCTAACAATTCACAATGCTCATTTCTAGTAGAGTTATCTGAATTTTTTAACACATTATAAACAACTTAAGTTTTGTCCACTAGGAGCAATGAAATAAAATGGAGTTGTTGAAGGCCAAAGTCCTGTTGCCATAGAACACATGCAAAAAGATAAACATTGCAAATCACGTACTGCCCTTTCACCGAGCCACAAGTCACCTGAAACACTCTCCGCTTTGGATAAGAGCCCTTCCCTCTCCACTGTCTGTTAACTGGGTAGCTTTTAAGCAAAAACTGTCACTGCAATAAAGTTGCTGCTAGGTTTGTTGCATTAATGGCTATTTTTTAGATTATTTTTTTTTAAAGTGGAAAGTATATTTAATAAATTCAAGACAACTGTGTATTCAACGACCAATCAGAAGCATAACTCTTAAGCAACAATTCACTGAAATTAAAATTTTAGTTTGTGAAATACCATAATGAACCATCATGAAAGAACGACTGCTGAAGTTAAATAAAACCAGCTCCTTTCTGTAGCACGACATTTGATTTAAACAATTATCTTCAGAGAATATCAGCGCTAGAAAAAGTTTATAAATAGGTAAGACAAACACAGTTTCTTCAAGCCCTGTTCAACCTCAGCGATGCACATCCATACAAAGCAAACTAATTGGACAGTGGTGCCGCATTCCCAAGGGACAAAGTCTCACTGATGAAGTTCCTACCAGTTCTGTGAAAACTGGCAGCACCAGAGCAACACCCAAGTAGTGTTTGTTCATGCTAAAGAGATGCAAGTCAAACCCCTTAATTCTTTTCTGATGCAGCACACAAGGAACCCCCAAACAGCCACAGTACACGGTAGCACATGCCCAAGTTTGGTTAAACAGTAACTGTGGATGGGAAACAGACCCTCACGAGTAGCAATCAAGATTTCACTAGTCCTGCTGTCCCCAGAGCAAGTAATTTATTTTGCTTTTCTTTTCCCCATATTCCCTCCTCTTCTCCAGGCGTTCAGTTTAATGGTAGTAGCATAGAAATGGCAAAGGCAAGAGCACACAATTTCAGACTCCTTCTCTGACTTCAATCCGTGGACATATACATTGTAACTTATTTGTTTGGTAAAACCACAAGGGTCTGTAAACCTCCCTTTGGGAATATAAATGTATTTGCTAAATTCTGTGGTAACAGCATAATCCTTACTATTCCCAAGTAACAAGTAATCTCTTATCTTTATTCTCAGTTCAAGTTATTGCACGGTCTATTCCATGGCCTGAAACACTGAAATCTACTGCAATACAGGAAGTATGGTACCACAAGTCCTTCCTCTGTACATTACTGTAAAAATATCTAAAAGCTATATATAGGATTGTACCTGTTTCTTATTTGGATTCTAGATACAGGGAAAAAAGCCATTATAATTTGTTCCAGAGGTATTTGTTATCACCAACAGCTGAAGTTCTGTGAAAATAAAACCTAACTAGCCAAGCGAGTAGATGTTTCAGGTGTGTTTGGGCAGTAAAGAAATAATCTCTTGGCTTTATTGTCTGATGAGACAGAATCAATGATAACTGCGTTTTGAGACAAAGGTTTATATCCTTTCCTATATATTTAGTTTATATTGAAAGGAAATGTAAAAGAAGATTTCTCTAAACCTATGCTACGTGGGCATCTGAAACGTTGATCAATTTGTGTTCCATCTATAAAATAAAGATTGTTTTCTGGATGTCACTATTGATGTGATTAAACAATTCAATACCTTCAGGGGCAAAGACAACTTCTGACCCAATACTACTGCTTATTCTGCCCTGGTACCACTGTAAAGATGAAGAGCACTGAAATAATCCAGATTATAAAAAAAAAAAAAAAAAAAAGAATCCCATCCAAATGATGATGAAATCAACAGTTGCACTAGGTATATGAAGGGCACAGCAAACTTCAGTGCGGCACTGGATGTCATGGCAGGAAGTTTAAGCCAGCTTCACTGCTACAAACCAGAGCGTGTAGTTATTCCTTCATCAGCCAGATAGTGGTTTCCTTTTGGTAATATTACTTTTCACTGACTAAATAAAGTCTATACACATTGAAAAGCATCCTACAGCCAGGTTTGCAGCTGTGAAGAGATAAGAGACAGAGGTCAGAATGTGACTTGGTGTCTATCAGATTAAGAATTTAACGAATTCCAGAACAGGGAGACAGAAGCAAAACAGAAATCTGAAGCACAGCATTTCAAAAGAACCCCTCTGTGGTAATTAACTCAAAACATAAAACTCTATCTGCGCTGCTGCAGCAAAGAAAGCCAACAGGATGCTGGGTTGCATCAAGAAGAGCATCACCAGCAGGGATAAAGAAGTCATTACCCCACTCTACTCAGCACCCATAAGGCCACACCTGGAATACTGTGTTCCATTTTGGTCCCCACTATGCAAAGACAATGTGGACAGGCTGGAGAGGGTCCAGAGAAGGTTCGGCCACAAAGATGATCAAAGGATTGGGAAGCCTGCTGTATGAGGAAAGGCTCAGATCTGGGTTTGTTCAGCATGAAGAAAATGCTTAGGGGGGACCTTATCACCATGTTCCTGTATTTAAAGGGTAGCCACAAGGAAGATGGAGACTCCCTTTTTACAAGGAGTCACATGGAAAAGACATGGGATAATGGGTACAAGTTAGTTCTGGGGAGATTCTGATTGGACCCAAGAGGAAAATTTTTCACAATGAGAACAATCAGCCATTGGAATAATCTCCCCAGGGAAGTGGTGGATTCCCCAACATTGGATACTTCTAAGTTGCTGGGCCATCTTGTCTAGACCGTGCTTTTGCCAAGAAAGGTTGGACCAGAGGATCCTTAAAGTCCCTTCCAACCTGGTGCTCTATGATTTCCTAAAGCCAGAGCTCACTCAAAGCCCTTTTTAGGTCTGTTGGATCTTCTTTTCAGACTCTTCCTCTTAGAGCAGCCCTTAAAAAGTTTACAAACTAGAGGACCATAAACTCAGAGAGAATCTAGTGTTAACAGCTCACCTGGACTCTGCTATATTGCTTTTCTTAACAACACACAGAGCTGGTGAACACTCATGTATGAGTTTTGCTTAGTGGGATGCAGCTGATAAAATTCAGCAATTCGCACAGAAAGTATCTTTTATGAGCAGCTCATTGAATTACTTTGTTGGATACAGGCAAATGCTGTTTATACAAAATATACTCACTACTGGAGGGCATTGTCTAGCTTCCAAATGATAAAGCTGGAAACAAGGTGTTGCTGGAAATACATTTTTTTTACTATATTTAAATATTATTAAATATTTAAAAATATTTTATTATACTATTTAAACAATTAAATATTTAAAACACAGTGGCTAATATTTATTGTTTCTATTTGTTTATATGTTACTATATTTAATTACTTATTTAAGAGGTAGATTTATAGATGAAGTTTGCGTATCTTCTTTTTGGGATTTGACTACTACATCAGCAAACTCACATAAAAATCTAACACCTCTCAAAGGTACTCTTCTATAAATGTACCGATAAAAACAGATGTGATTTCAGACTCACAAACCTATCTTTAGGCCTAAAGCAGCCCATGAAAAAAATTCAGATGTGAACGACTGATTTGACACAAAAATTGCTTTGTTTCTCCTCGCACTTCCAACAATGTCAAACTTGATTCATCAGGGATACTACCTCCCCTTCAAAACTTCCTTGTTTGTATCCTTGGAACACTGCAGCTATACGAAAAATATTATCACCATGTTACCAGGTCCAACACTACACATGCCCAGCTAGGCAACCGCGTGGTATGGCAGGCTGCTCATGCAGCAAAATGCCCACAGCTCCCCTACCCATAGGTGAGTCAGGTAAGCCGTGTGCTAGAGTGGCTCCTTGCCCCTCAAAGACGGGAGAAATGTGGGCAGCACTACTGAGAAGGGTGCAAATCATTTCAAAAGCAACACCTGCTGTACCTGCACATCCACACCCTCCCATGAAGCAGGGCTCCCCAGCTCAGCTCCATCCCTTCCTCGCTTTCATTCCCCAGTCATGCCTCAGTCCCCCACTCCAAAATTCAGTCTGGCATGTGGTGCTGAAAGGCCTCAAACTGTCTGTGCCTGCAAATTCAGCTTCAAATCAACATGTCTCACCAAGGAACCGTTTTCACGAGGTTAGTATGAACCCTTTAAACCTGAGACAGTCTTAATGAAAAACACCTGGTTTTGAAAGCGTCTCTTTTCAGACTGCTAATCTCTTAGCCAGGAGAGATGAGCATGGTAAACCTTTTAGTGGAAATACGAGATACAGCCATCTCAGAGCTCCTCCCACCCCTCCTTTTCCTTTCTTCCAACTCTTTTCACTCTAAAGCTGATCCAAGAGAAAGTGGGGATGACATCAAAGAAATATTTCAAGAAGCTAGAAATGAGCATGTCCTCAGTCACCTAACTTTCAAAGTAATATATTTAAAAGCATATTCTGAATTAAAGGAAAAACCCACCAAGTTTTCAGCTTCTAATATTTCTGATTAAAGGAAAATTTCATCATTTGTTTCAGTTAGGAAAAGTCAGAAGAATTACCTAGTTTATTTCAGAAGAATGTAAGTCAGTACTACCTTTAAGTATTGCAAACATCCTTCTGAAGTACTGGTGACCAATAAGAGAAAAATCAACCTAGGAACAGTAACAAACCAAGGACTCACCATTAAATGGAAGTTGGGGCTTCCTTTCAATAAGTTCCCACAGACGTCCACCAGCACCTAGTCCTTTCATTAGCTCCGAATAAAAGGAACTCAGACCTAATCAAAAGGTAAAACAGTATTATGCACCCATACGGAATGGAAGACATAGGAGACATACAATTTGCATTATACTTTTCATCACCAGCATTGAAGAATCAGATGCGTAGGGAACCTTTTATTCCAACACGCTATCAAACATGCTGATTTAAACCCTACCTAGTCTCACTTGAGAGCTACCAATAACCCTTACTCACCATTCTTATCAGTAAAATAAATCAGTCTGAAATAAAAGTAAGAAAACACTTAAGCTTGCATATACTCAAAAGCAAAGCAACTCTTTTTCAGGCATCTGTCAGGAAGAACACCATCCAACTTTAGAGAAATAGCCTTGCATACAACCCGCTGTATTTTCAAAATCATTCAGTAGAACTGGGCGCTCTGAGTGCCCTTCTTTGTCAGACAGGGTTATACTACTACAAAGGAGCCTGGCTGAGTCAGCCACAGGGGAGGGAGGGCACAAAACCTAAGGCTGAACTGACGCTTGAGAAGCTATGTGGAGAATGGACAATGTAAAGAAATACATCTCCCAAGTTAGTGTGCTTCAAACATTACTGGAGAAAGCAAAAGCTAAGGACAGAGGCTACATATAGCACTGGTTCCCTGCTCTTAGCAGCTGTGCCAAACATGTTCAAGTTGGCTTGGCTGAAGGACTTTCCAGCTGAAATAAACACAGAAACGCACCTAGAACCAAAAATGGAGTCAGACATAAATATAAAATGTCTCATTTCTTCACTTTTTGCGTGTCTTTCAAAATAGAATAACCAATTTCAAAACTCTCTGAATTCCAACAGAATAAACCACTTCCACCTTAAAATGTGGAGTGTTAACAGTGATTTCAGGATGGCAGAAAACCCAAGGTATACTAAAATGTTTACAGGCTTATTACTGCAAAGCAACAAGCCCAGCACAAGATCATGAGTCTGGGAGTGTAGAGAAGGCATTTCATTATATGGCTGCTGAGGACTACCTGGAAGCTTGCAACACAAGGCACTAGTCATGGTGAGAAGCTGTCTGCTTGGAAAAAAGAGCCAAAGTACCTACAATCCTAGAGCAGGGCACAGGGGAGAAGGCATGAGCCTCACACAGTGCCTTGAAACTGAGACAACGAGGTCTGCAAATTCACAACCACCCATAAAAAAGCACTGTATAATATGTACAGCAAATACTAATTAGAAAATGTTTTTCATTTTCATAACCTGTGTTCAGTGTTTGGTAGAAAACACAGCAAACTTACAACAAAAAGGGGCAAAGTCCCAAATTACGCAGTGAACTTCACAGTTCACTGCATGAAGTCATATACGTGTTGATGATGGCATACACAAAGAAGACCTAGCACTTCAAAGATATCTTTGCCTTGTAGGCGGTCAAGGAAGGCATGCCTCCTGTGGCAAGACTGCAGAGTCCCCATGAGAATGAGCTCTGTGCAGAATTGTATTCTTCAATAATCTTAAGTAGAATTTTAAAATATGTTTTTACGGCAAATAGAAGCTAATTCAATTACATTTTATCAGTACTTGTAACCTTACTTTCCATTTATTTAACATTAAGTTGTCCCATGTTTCCAAAGTGCCAGGTATCTGTCTGTTGACCAAACTTGGATGATTTAAGCAGAGAAGGAAAGAATTTGGTAGTGGGAGTGGGTGCACTGAAATTTTGATATTCAAGGAAGCACGTTTTGTGAATTTTGCTCTCAGGTATATCTTTATGCTTCCCATGATATCAGGCTTAGTCTAAGAAAAGAAGAGTACAAATGAGCTGCATTGCCCTGCTGGTCTCTCAGAAGCAACAGACTCACTTTAAAGAGCAGCCTTCCAAACAGTGATCAAACTTCAAAGTACCTTATCTTCATTTCTGCCTATATGCAGTAGTGAAGACTGCTCTGTCAAAAAGATGAACAGTTTATTTCTGGGCCATTAGATTACAGAGTCTGAGCTTCAAGGAGAAATCAGTCAGTAAGGAAAACCAAAAGGTTAGCACCAGAGTGTAGTGTTCCGCTGGCATTTTGTTTACTCTTTCAGCTCAAGACACTATACTGAATCACAGCTAAATTAAACATATTCTATTTAGAAAGGTATGTAGAACACCGACTCACATATTTTGTAAAAAATATAATACCAGTAATATTTCTTTACACAATATACCAAGAATTTTAATTTAGAGCCAAAGAAAATTAAAGTAATATTTATCTGTCACATGCAAACATTGAAAAAAAAAAACCCCACCCTCTGTGTTCCTTTGGGAAAATGGAAGGCTTATATTAAGATTTAAGTTATAAATTATTATTTTCATTAACTCTTCAGAAAACAAAATGCATGATTTCTTGGGAAGAGACTTTTTAAGAAAGCCAGATCTTTTAAGAGCTTCTTCCTTCCCACCCCCATACTGACTGTAATGCTTTGAAGTGAAGAAAATCTAATTTCTCATTCCATACCTCCAATGCTTATTCCAACCCAGAAAGCATACATTAAGAAAGATGAGAGTTCACCAACTGTCATGTAGGCACTGCCCATTAGTAATCCTCCTTTGTATAAGACTGAGAGGATAATTAAGTTTCCAGAAAGGCCAGTCTAAGGAAAAAGAGGAAAAGGCAGATTTTGTCACATACATCTTAAATTTCATCCTCTAAAATGTTGTTTCAGAATTTTCCTTCTAAAAAAAGAATTCCCATACTACAGGTATCTAGATTTTTAGAGGACTGAGTTAAATTTGAACAAAACCAATTCTAAAGCAAACCAAGCTGACAGACAGACAGGCATCCAGTGGCATTGCACTGCGCTATCCAACAAGCATTCAAAAAGCAAGCAACATTTTTGTTTTTTTTAAACCCAAGATGGATAGGAACATCAAACATTAGTCTCAACCCTCATTAAAGGAGAAGAGGTGATTGTCTGCAGTTATTTTGCAGTTTTAGAATACCATGAAGCAAACTCACTGTAAATTGCTACAGAAAAATGCAATCCTAGCCTCCCTCCCCCACCTGCACACTCCCCAGCTTCCTTTGCATTGATGCTCATCTCATCACGAAGCCAAACCTGTAAAATTCTCAAGCTGGGGGAAGGTTTCCACTGGTTTAGTTCCCTGAATAGGAGGTATGAGCTCAGATAAATAGTACCAAGCTACGGGGTGTGGGGCAGAAATAGAGGCTTAAACCAGCTTTATCATACCGGTGTATCTTGACATGAAGTTTCACAGCAATTTAGACTGATTTAAGTGCAGTCTTCCCACAGTTTTATGTAGGTTCAATTTACACAATTCATTTATTTGCAGATTTACAAGCATCCTCGTGAATTTTAAATTAGCTGACACTTGGCATAACATGGTTGGTTTACTTTCACCAAAATACTTACTGCTCCAAAGAAACCTGCCCGAGCTAGCGCCTCTTTTTTAGCCAGTTGTAGCACATAATCAACTTTATTTGTATACTTCTCTATTTCAGCCACTTCTTGCCCAAAAGCTCGAACTGTTCTTATGTTTCCAATACGCTCTTCAGCCAACTACATTAAAGCAAAGAACAAAACAAATACACACAGACACACATTTTGGAATGTTCATATTACAGAACATTTGAAAGTTAGAGCAATATCACTATACTAATCTCCAAACAGATTCCTTCGGATACCACTGGAAAATTTCTCATGCCCTCCCTTCCCCAACCACTCCCCCCCGCCTTTTTTTTTTTTTTTTTTAAATTTTATTAAGTTAAAAGTAAATTGCATGCCCAGGCAGTTTAAAAAGAACTTCAAGATTGCCTTAGTGCTAGCAAAGATAGAAAAATATAGAAGTAGGGTTAAAAAAAAGCCTTCATTTGATGGGAACAACACAAACAAGAAGATTAGTATTCACAATAACTTGCAATAACACCATGGGGAGGGCAAAAATAAAGAATATTCTATTCTACACTAAATCACGCAAGAAAGCCAGCAGGTATTTCCTGAAACAATTCCACTCATTTGATCAAAGCAACACTATGAATTAATTTAGCTTAACTACTAATGCCTCATTTCAACTCAGTATTTTAGTCTAACTTCTAAACAGCAAAGTATTAATTCTAAAATTACCTCAATTGTAACCAACTAGACTAAGTTGTTAATAGACACTGTGATGGTCTTACAGAAAACAAGGCCTGCTTTTCTGAGTAAAAATATGATATAATAATATAATTCTCCTCCTTCTGTCCTCCATTCAACCTGATAATTTGAATGGAACACTAAAATTGCTTAGTCATGTGAAGTCTCACACCTGGTTTACAAAGGGATGATCTTCCCTTCCAACACAGGATGAGGAAGATAAACAGAAGAGGGCTTAATCTTCCTTCCACAGAGTCAATTTGCAGAAGTCTTACAGTGGACAGCCCAAGTTTAAAACAGCTGACAACTGTGGCTATTTTAACTAGATCTTTCCTAATTATATTTCTATGCTTTTTAATGATGTTTCCCCACCCTCAGCCTGTGAGGAAAAGGTCACTATCACTACTATTCTCTGATAGCACTTTGCAATATTGCAGTGCAGTCAGCAAACACAATTAAGGCCCCCCTACAACAGCCTCTTTAGAAACAACAACTTCCTCTACTTTTCTCCCAAATATCCGGGTATGTGCTGAGATACCCAGAAAAGTTTAAGAAATGTCAAGCCTCATAAACATTAAAGAGCTGAAAATAATGTTAAGCACGAATAATCCATTCCAGAGAAGAACTTGATAGTAAAGTTTTCTTAAAATACACGTGCATCTAGGATGCTTCTGATGGCTTCAAACTCATAACCACAGTCAAAGAAAAGTGTTTTTCAAACTCAGGTACCAAATCACAAAGGACTTCATAGGTTAATTTTTGTATGGTCTCACAAAGCTAAAGCCTCATGTCCTTAACCTCTCCCAGATTCCCAAATCCTCAAGGCCTGTTACTTCCACATTATATTGTTATGGACAACCAAAGCATGTGGGTTTTGAGATCTATGAATAAATGTTACTGACGTTTACCTCTCACACTATTCAGGTGCAAAACTACAGGCTCAGCATGGCTTAGGGCAATAAACAGTACAATTATCTTCAGAAGATCTGTAACTCCAGAGATATTAACCTAAATACAGTAGCAAACTTTGAAGTTAACTAGAAAGTGTCTGTTAAAAGATTACCTGAGTTGCTTCTGCAAGAGAATCTTGGGTCATTTTAGTAAGTTTTCGCAAATATCTTCCATAAATCACAGCCAGGACAGCCAACGGTGGCACAACGCTCAGAACAAATGCAGCAAGGCTAGGAGACACAAAAAACTAGAAGAAAAAGGTATGTGTCAGGGGTTAGCATTCAGATTAAAAATAACCACTCCAGTACTGAAGTGCAACTTCCCTGGCTAGAGTTTTCTAAAACTAGTAGGATAGTAATTTAGTGTTGCCATGCTTTCATTAATCCTGTTGTACTTCTTCCAGGCAAAAACATCCATTCTTCCACAGCATATGGGATGTATCCCATGGTTAGAACAAAGGATTATAAGCAAAGCAGTCTGGATTTCATTTCTAGCTTTCTCACTGGTTTGCTGTGTGGTCTTAGCCAAGTATCTTCACCTGCCAGTAAACAGGTCTACCAGGAAATCTTTCAGGCATGCTGAAAGACATTACCTATTATATAGTTTCTAAAGTGCTTTCACAACTTTTAAATAGATGGTGTAATACAGAAAGTTTGAGTAAAGAAATATTGTATACTACTTCTGGGTAACTGAGGAATGGATGGAGTCACCGGTGCTCCCCAGCACCTATGAATGCTCATAACCTGGAATGATGGATTTAATTTACTGTTGCAAAACCTTCTCGATCACAAAAATCATCATCAAAGCTCCTAAATAGGTTCTTTTCATAAGATTTATTGAAATTAGATCTAATGTGTTTTCATTCCATCTTGCTTTTTGTATTGAAAACAGAAATCTCCAGAAAAAAATCAAAAACAACTTAATTGACAGGCTTTATAATTATTTCATATTAATCTCTTCTTTCTGGGCAAGCTTTTATAGTCCACCTTTCAATACTGTATCATGGAAGCATTTTTGAGCAGAACACAATAATAACTTTATACAAAAGTTATTCCATTTAATCGATGGCAAAATAAAACCTCAGACTATTTGCTTAGATAAATACAGAAAGCCATAATTCTTATCAGTGACAAAGTATTAAAGCTTTAAAGCCTCATAGTGGAAACTCTTAGCAGTTTCTAATAACATCAATACTAGAAGCATATTTTTATGAGGAGACTTTCTGCTACCTGTTTTTAACTCCACGTAGACAGCAGAAATTACCACACCTTCAGTTAAGATAACTGCCACCAACATATCTTTTCTCAGATAAGCGTAACAAAATTAATGCCACAGAAAACATCAAGGGAAGTCAGATTTTTATGTAAACCAACTGACCATCAAGGACTATTAACTGATGTACTGCACTGAAGCCTTCATTAACACGCTTCCTACCTAAATATATTCTTTACTGGCAGACTAAGGCAGAAAGATTAACACCTGTAAAAATCCTCAGCGGTAATCTGTTATTCAGCGCTGCCTTTGCTCACCTACGCCTTATCCAGAATCAACCAACTTCAATTACTACATCAGGACCTTCACACCCTATTTTATGTACAACCATGGGAACATTATCACTGCTTTTAGTATCTATAGTAAGAATAGAGTTAAGCTATTTGCCTACTATACTTTGCTTGATAAATTTGGGCAGTAACAGTAGTTAATTTCAAACCTTCATTCTCTGTATTTTGGCTCATAAGCAAACATCAAGTGGCTACAGGCACATGATGTATTGCAATGCAATACATAAGAGTTATCATAGATAACCGCTGAAATACACTTGTACCCAAAAGCACACAACAGTTTCTGGCCTGAATCACATTCACACATTACCTACCAGAACTGAAACAAACTTGAAACTACAAGAAGTGACAAGAAGGGAAGAGACCACCGTACCATCATTCCAACCCCCACAGATGCTTGTGCTCCTGCCCTGAGCCCATCTGAAAGGTTTTCAGTCACTGAGCGGCCCAAGAGGGCTGTGTCTGAAGATAAGCGATTTATCAGCTCTCCTGTTCTGGTCTTGTCAAAGAAAGCAGTTTCTTGCTTCAGAATAGAGGAGAACATGGTTGTTCTCAAATGTTTCACAATCCTTTGTCCTGTCAGAAACAGAAGTCAGTCAAGCATGACACCAACAATATTAAAAATCACAGGATTATGCAGCACTGAACAAGTCACATTACAGAGTGACCAGAATATACCATTACAGAATATACCAAAAGAGAGTGATCTTCAAGATATCACGTAACAATACAGAAAAATGAGCAATTATTCCAGCATACTTATCTTTGCACTATTAGTCTACCTTTGATCTGGTAAAAAAAGCTACTGACTCCAAGAAGAATCTCTCAGTGCCAAGAATTTATTTCAGATCATTAGATATCCTGACACTGTGAAAAAATATGACTCTCAATACAACTTTTTGCTTCTGTTTTTACCTGCAGTCTGCATGAGGTAGACACGAGTAGCATTAGCAGCAGCACCACATAAAAAGATTCCACTCAGCAAGGCACACAGGCTGGTCAGGCTGTCAGTGAAGTCTTCACTGGAATTTGTATAAATAACATCAATAACTTTCCCCAGAAAGAAAGGGGCTGACATGGTTATGACACTGGAAACTGTCAGAAAGCCAACAGCAGCTGCAAATCAACAAGGAAAAGGAAAGGAAAATCATTCTGAATTTGCCAAATTCATTAATAGTAACATATGAAATAATTTTTCACTTGAAATTTCTATTAATCAGCGTTCTTTTCGGCCCAGTTCTGAATGGGGTATTTTAAGTTACTATATAAATTAACATAGGCAAGGCACATTTTAAGATCCTGAAAGCCTCTGTATACAGTCACAGTCCTGGAATTGCTTCTCTTGTCTAACCTTCCACACTACCATATAAAAAGGCTAACTTTTCACAGATGTCATCCTTAGAGTGCATCAACAGTTACCACATTTTCCATACCTCACACAGAATCTTTCAACTCCTGTTTGGTTTGGGTTTTATTATTCATGCTTGTTACTTTATTAAAGCTTCCAATTGTCTATTTCTGAGATAGCAATGGACTGAAGTAAAGATCTGATATGAGAACTGTCTAAAACACACAATTTTATTGGGGGGGGGGGTGGGGTGGGAAGCAAGCAACGAAAAAAACCATTTTATTTACTCTTGACTGGCAAAATTTATAAACATTTGTTTTGTTTTACTCTTTACTATTGTCTGTCTAAAGGAAAAATACTGTAAGTTTGAATTAGAAGTACATTTGCTGACAAACAGAACTCTTGAATTACAGTTGCAAGATCACCCATGGAACAAGCTATGTAACTTGGTTTGACACTGCATCACAGAGAGTATGAAAATTGCACTGGACCAAGACTTAGCCTTTTGAACTTTAACATGCAAAGAAATTTCTTGAGCCAAGAACAGAGCTTGATTCTGAAAAGGCAAGCCAAGCTTGGAAGGCTGAGAGCTAGAAAAGACACACATCTTAATTGAAAACTGAACAAACTTGATATGAAAACCACTGAACCACAACAAACAATGCCATTTATACAGCACAATTTTCCAACAGCCAACCCCACACTTAAAGCAACCATTCATAGTACTGCTACAAAACTACAAGCAGATAACACCTTTAAAGGCAAAAACATACTGTATGGGAAATCCTGAAGTTGCCTGAGTTTTAGTTCCATTCTACTGAGCTTCTTGCATCACTTCTAAGATGAAGACAGCAAAGAGCCTCCCAGCAGCACACTGCTGTGAGCAATATTTCTAACATCTGTCACAGATGGTTTGATGCCTCTTACCACCCCCACACACTGGTGAAAGGCTTTGTTTCCGTTTTTACCTGAAGTGTAAAATACAGCTGTGCATTTATGATGAAGAATTCAGGGTACAAAAATCGCATACCTGCCGCCACCTGAAGCAAACACTTCTCTGCACCTTCATGCAGTGCCCCAGAGCAGTCCTGGGAGAGCTCCACACACTGCCCAAACAAGCTTTACCCTTGCTGTTGCATCCAACCTGCATTCAAGATCTGTTTGCGATCTTTCCATCGTGTTACACTCAGGCCAGCAAGCATGTGAAAGATAAAGAAGTCCGATCTTTAACTTGAAGCGATTGAAACTGCAAGAAGCCGGAGTAGAAAGGGAACGAATTCCTGCTGCAAACTTATGTGATCCATGCCACAGACACATCTCATAAGCATATTATTTACTAGCTAAACCTTTGTAAGAATGAGTGACCTTACTAAGATGCTGGCTGCACTAGTGTATTCAAGCTGTGAAGCAGCTGGGAAAAATGCAACAAAAGCCAGATCATCTCCTGTCAGGAAAGGCTGGTGTATAAGGCAACTGGAGATGGTCATAAGCATTGCTTATAAGGAGAGTGTTGCATTGCAGCTCACTTCACTAGTCCAGACAATTTCTCCATTATGGATGGAACTGGACATATGAACTGCCTGTATAAAATATTCACTGAACTGTACAGCTAAACATCCCCTATGTCTCTGTCTAGTGGTACAGCCTTCCTGGCTTGGATTTACCTTCAGCTCTTCTTCATTCAAACTAGCATGGGCTTCACTGTAATTACTTCCAACAGCTTTAAGCGAACTAAAAGCAAAGTAAAAAAGCAAAGTAAAAAAGCACTAGTACATAAAACAAACTGAAAACTACTAAACTACTTAAACATTAGACAAAGCATCAATAATATACTGGAACAATGAAGTCCTGAAAATGAAAGTTTATATAATGCAGATATCACTTTTAATTTTCTCCTTAAGCAATATACCTGTGTTCATTAATTTAATCACAAATCACATGCAAAAACAGTTTCCTAATTGAAACTCTCGCTTGCATGATTATACCAGCAGAACAACTAGAAAATAGCAGAGGTATCAAGCTGTTGCTCTTTTTTTTGAAAAACAACAACTCTGGACTATTTGAAGAAATAGAATCAGCAAACACTCACTCTATCTCCTCATTCAAAGAAGAGCTGTCACCGTGATAACTGGCTAAAGGGAGGAGTACGAGGTGTTCGGCAACCAGATATGAAGGCACTTCAGTGACGCTGAAGGTTGTTACTGACAGAAGAAAAGGTCAGAGTAAACTTTAGAGTATTAGTTTCACATAGTTTACTCTGTTAACCAGAAAATTATGCCAAAAAAAGTGTATTTCGGAAGCTTTATTTTATATATCTCATCTATGAGATATATTTTATATTTTATATATTTTTATATATTTTATATATTCATATATTTTATATATTTCATCTAGGAGATGAAAAGAAAGAAAATGTGAGGCAGATCAGTAGAACTTATAAACCCAGCACTACATCAAAGTGGCAACAGAAGCAAAGACAAGGCAAGCTGGCTCCAGGAGCAGCTGAGCAGTCCTCTTGGAAATGTTAGGCTAACATTTTGCTTGTCTACTTGCAGAGAAATTCAGATTGATGCACAGACAAACCGATGCCTTTATCACTATTAAGATCAACATGCTCTCTGTTAAGGCTAATGTGGGCTTGATTCTTGACAGCAGATCTGCAACTTCATTTCACAGTAAATGTATTCAGGGGCAAGGAATTGGTCACCCAGCGATAAACCAGGACATTCACAAACAATAACCAGGCAGAGCTATCAGAAACATCTCTTCAGAACATGGGCTAGGTGTCTAAGAGTCATAACCCAATTTTCTACGTGCAAGAACACCACGAAGAGATTTCTAATTTTGCTGGTTCTTACAGATCATACTTCTCATCCAGGACAGTATGTGTAAGTGTACAAAACCAAAAAACTGCTTGCAAGCCTGTTGGGGGAAGCGCTGTTTTAAACACAAATACATAAAGATTTGACCTCAAATTAATTAAGATCATTCAAGCCAATCAAGGATGAAGGACCGAAAAATGAAGCAATGATGATGCTTGCCAGTGCATGGTAGCACAGCAACAGGACACGATCTAGTTTTTACTACTCCTTAAGATTATCAATGTTACCTCTCATAATCTTTTAAGTATTTTGCTGGTTTCATTTGAAGATCAGGGCTGGCAGGTCAGAAAGTAAGCTTTGGATTTGTGAGATGTATCCTTCTACCAGTAACAAAGAATGTCTGTCCTTTACCAGTTATCTGTGCAGCTTTATTCTAATACACAGTGACTTTTTTAGCTTAACACTGAATTTCCACAAGGGCATTTGGAGTGACAAATGAAGTCTAGTGCATTCTATCATGTGAATTCACAGGGATCAGGCTATTCAGTTGTTCTTTTATGGGAGGAGGAACTGATACATTTTATACATATTGGTTAGGTAAAGTCCATTCCTCTTTGGTAAAGCCTGGCCCACAAGAAATTTCTTTTGGATTAATATAGGGAGGTTGAAGGACTGGTATCAACCCTGTGAAGTCAGTTCTGTAAATATTTATTTCAAGGTAGAATGTTCTTCCAGAGTAAACTGTAAGCATTTAAGGATGTTCTATATAGTTCTAAGTTAGATATGACTGGTGACTTTCTGTGTTAAGGTAAATTCATACACAATATCTGGACCTCACCTATTATTATACAACAACTTTTTAGAATCATCTTCCTTACATTATTAATAAACAACTGCAATATGGTGCTCAGAAAAAAATACAGTTCTTGTCTGATGGCACAATTGTATACTGCATTCCTGGTGTATTTTGGAAAGCTGCTAGCTTTCCAAGCAGAAATGTCTTAATTTGCAGGTATTGTCAATATACCGAATCTTACAAGTTACTATTTCTAGTGATGATCACAAATTTTAGAAAATGTTTATAGGAGTATTCTGTAGAGAGTTTGATGTGGTCATTGAGTCTGTGCTGCTGGGTTTTTTTTGTTTTTTTTTTTATTTATTTTTTTTAAGCACAAAAGAGCAGTTTGGGCTTTCAAATGGTGAAGACTCTTTTCTTTGGTACAGTAACAATACAGTTGCACAACTTCCTGAAAATATCTTCAAGACAGCTCATGGAAAAGGCTGGCATACTGTCAGTCATCTGACTGACCAGGATTGTACAACAGTTTGGATAAATTAATAGTTGCAGAATTAAACAAGAAAAATAAACAATACCTTTGAGATAGTATGGCAAGAACAAGACACAGTGTCCAGTGTTTGGAGGGCACAGCGAGATACCAGCACAGGAGCGAGCCCCGGAGTATCGGCTGGTGGCATCCCTCACGCACAGAACACTTACGTGGTGCAACTTATGGAAGAAGTTTATCACCTTGAAGAAAGCCTGTTCTTTGAGCCATGAGGTATCCAGGACTGACAGAAATCACTCTTGGTAGCTCCTCAGTGAGGCCCCTAGGATCAAATGGGTCAGACTTGCCAGGAGTCTTTTGCTATGGAGCAAATAAAACATCAAGGAGCCCTTGCAGAGTAGGCTATAGAGGGTTTGTCAGAAGAGCTTTCAGATAGGATATTTAACAACAGAAGTGCCTTTCCAGGCAGCGCAGAACACAGTGATCTGAGAAAGTCCAAGAAAAGGATGAAGAAATAAGACTGCCACTTTGCACAAGAGAGAAGGAGGAAGAGGTAGCAAGGCACACAGCCTGATGGAAGGCCTACGCAGAGCTGTGCAAAATCTCCGCTTGCAAGCAAAGATGGAGGCTTGACTCTGACTATAGGCAAGTATCTTCACT